TGCAATCAAGCACTTCTCGTTCGCTGAGAGCGGCAGGTGCACCTAAGACTATGATCCTTGGTCTTCTTTTATGGATCTCTTACACCTTTAAACCGAAACTTTTAAAGGCCGGCAACGCCTCTGTAATTCCCATTGTGTTGCAGTTGTTCATGGGCGGCGGTAGTCACTACCTCTAAGCTGAGCTACCGCATTCTTGTTTACACGCCTACGAGCTACCGCATCTTGACACGTACACCGATTGAACCGTTTACACGCCTACTCTCAGCTGGCACTTCATGAGTAACGCTACTGAGCACTTTACACGCCAAGTCCCGTTACACGAAGCATTTCCCCCAATAGCCTTTGCTTCAACGCTTGGAAGTATCATCTGAGAGGCTGCATTACCGACCTTATGCTATTGGGAATTGATTCTCAGTTTTTGTTCTGAGTTTAGTTTTCCCTCCTGGGTAATATAGCAAACTTCATTAAGGTACTGTTCAATTGAGGTCATCTAATATTTAATTTACCTGGTGGCTAAAAGTTCAATGGAATCTGCAGCATCATAATGTAGTGACGTGTTGGGCGGACTCCGAATTGTAATGGTGCTTCGGTTGAAAGAGCTATTTTCGTGTTTATATGATTTTCATTATAAGTTTCTCAAATGTTTTTCATTATAATTTGTTATTTATACTGTATATTTATAGTTATTCACTGCTGTAAAATCACAACTTAGGAAAATTTTTCCAATGGCTTATCTAGGTCACAATTTTATAAAAAATATTTAAACACTTCCTCGGCGGAAGGTTCCGCCTGCTGGCGGGCCTGTTCCTCCTGCTGCTCTTTCAATCAACGGGCCTGTTCCTCCTGTCAGCGGGCCTGTTCCTCTTGTCGGCGAGCCTGTTCCTCCTGGGAGCCTTTTCCTGCAGCAGCATCATGAGAGCACCTAAGTCAGGTGCTGCAGGTGTAGGAGCTGCTAACGGGCCAGCCTCCGTGGCTGGCAGTTGGCTCCCCGACGTCTGCAGCGTTGCACCACCAAATCTCCTCTGGTCCGTCTCCTTCTGGCGTTGACTTCGGGTACGGACACCCTCCGATTCCTCCTTAGGTAAAATTGGCATAATTTTATCCCACTTCTGACACCAATTGTTACGAGCTTAGGGTTCGCGACAATAAAACCTGGCGGTTAAATTACCAAAATTTACACTTTAATTACTGAACACCAATTAAAACTTAAATCACACTAATAATTAATCACACTTAACATTTTAATTTACTTTATTTCGCTCCAAAAGCTTCGCTCGTATCGCCAATTCAATACTATTTATTTGATTTATTTTTGTGTTAAGTTTCGCAAACACGAAACCTCCAAGCTGTAGTCTATGCGTAGTCTAAGTTTAATTTTTGATTATTGAATTTTAATTTGATGAATATTATTTTTTTTATTTTAAGATTTTATTTGAATCTATTTTCAAGTGTACAATTGACCTTTACATTTTCTCGTGCGTTATTGTGTTATCGTGTGTTATATCTTCCAATGCGTTATATTACATTTTTTGGCGACCTTACCCGTAAGGATGGGCGTGCGGAGACGAAATATGCTTGCACCCTCCTTTCTGCCAATGAGGGTCGCGTCCGTGTACGGCTTAGAGATCTCTCGTCAGATCAGTAAGCCAATCCATAAAGGTGGTGTTTAGGGGTAAAAGTCTCCACATAACCACGCAGCCGGCTGTGAACATTATATGCTATGAACATTCCCCACCTCCCTCCCCCGCTTTCCGGAGGGTTGCCCATGGTTGCTTCGGGCGCAAAAAAAAACGAATTATGTGCTGTTAACCATATCATACTCTGACGTAATCTGCGAATAAATACAATAATATTCATACCTAAATAATAATTCGTTACATGTATGTTGTATATTGTTATCTATTTTTATATTATGTACTGCCACACTACAATGTCTATAGAATGTTACCCATTTGCCGTGCAGTTGCATTGTGAATCTGTGAATACCCACTACCCCATATCGTCCTATGAATGTCGTAAGAGGCGACAGAGCGAAACTGAAAAAGGATATGAGCAGCAGAATCTTCCTTACAACTCGTTGCAACTGTGGCGAAAACCCACTTGTGAGGCAGTCTATGTTCAGCAGTGGACATCTATAGGTTGCAATGGATGGATATTTGCCCACCTACTATCCGCTCTGAGATAGCGTGATCGTTTGGTTATGATATACTTTCGCTTTCCCTTATTCATCAGACTTTTAAAAGTTTATAGTTGGGAAGTGTAAACGGGTGAGAAAACGTAATAGTTTGGTTATGATATACTTTCGCTTTCCCTTATTCATCAGACTTTTAAAAGTTTATAGTTGGGCAGTGTACACGGGTGAGAAAACGTGATCGTTTGGTTATGATATATTTTCGCTTTCCCTTATTCATCAGACTTTTAAAAGTTTATAGCTGGGCAGTGTACACATGTGAGAAAACGTAATCGTTTGGTTATGATATACTTTCGCTTTCCCTTATTCATCAGACTTTTAAAAGTTTATAGCTGGGCAGTGTACACGGGTGAGAAAACGTGATCGTTTGGTTATGATATACTTTCGCTTTCACTTTTTCATCAGACTTTTAAAAGTTTATAGTTGGGCAGTGTACACGGTTGAGAAAACGTAATCGTTTGGTTATGATATACTTTCGCTTTCCCTTATTCATCAGACTTTTAAAAGTTTATAGTTGGGCAGTGTACACGGTTGAGAAAACGTGATCGTTTGGTTATGATATACTTTCGCTTTCCCTTATTCATCAGACTTTTAAAAGTTTATAGTTGGGCAGTGTACACGGGTGAGAAAACGTGATCGTTTGGTTATGATATATTTTCGCTTTCCCTTATTCATCAGACTTTTAAAAGTTTATAGTTGGGCAGTGTACACGGGTGAGAAAACGTGATCGTTTGGTTATGATATAATTTCGGTTTCCCTTATTCATCAGACTTTTAAAAGTTTATAGTTGGGCAGTGTACACGGGTGAGAAAACGTGATCGTTTGGTTATGATATACTTTCGCTTTCCCTTATTCATCAGACTTTTAAAAGTTTATAGTTGGGCAGTGTACACGGGTGAGAAAACGTGATCGTTTGGTTATGATATACTTTCGCTTTCCCTTATTCATCAGACTTTTAAAAGTTTATAGCTGGGCAGTGTACACGGGTGAGAAAACGTGATCGTTTGGTTATGATATACTTTCGCTTTCCCTTATTCATCAGACTTTTAAAAGTTTATAGCTGGGCAGTGTACACGGTTGAGAAAACGTGATCGTTTGGTTATGATATACTTTCGCTTTCCCTTATTCATCAGACTTTTAAAAGTTTATAGCTGGGCAGTGTACACGGGTGAGAAAACGTAATCGTTTGGTTATGATATATTTTCGCTTTCCCTTATTCATCAGACTTTTAAAAGTTTATAGCTGGGCAGTGTACACGGGTGAGAAAACGTGATCGTTTGGTTATGATATACTTTCGCTTTCCCTTTTTCATCAGACTTTTAAAAGTTTATAGCTGGGCAGTGTACACGGTTGAGAAAACGTGATCGTTTGGTTATGATATACTTTCGCTTTCCCTTATTCATCAGACTTTTAAAAGTTTATAGCTGGGCAGTGTACACGTGTGAGAAAACGTGATCGTTTGGTTATGATATACTTTCGCTTTCCCTTTTTCATCAGACTTTTAAAAGTTTATAGTTGGGCAGTGTACACGGGTGAGAAAACGTTATCTTTTGGTTATGATATACTTTCGCTTTCCCTTATTCATCAGACTTTTAAAAGTTTATAGTTGGGCAGTGTACACGGGTGAGAAAACGTAATCATTTGGTTATGATATACTTTCGCTTTCCCTTATTCATCAGACTTTTAAAAGTTTATAGCTGGGCAGTGTACACGGGTGAGAAAACGTGATCGTTTGGTTATGATATACTTTCGCTTTCCCTTTTTCATCAGACTTTTAAAAGTGTATAGTTGGGCAGTGTACACGGGTGAGAAAACGTGATCGTTTGGTTATGATATATTTTCGCTTTCCCTTATTCATCAGACTTTTAAAAGTTTATAGCTTGACATCGGTCTCTTTTGTTTTGAAGAGGAATTGTCTCAACAGTCACGCTTAGCAGCTTGGATAACCACCTGTACGCCGATGGCTGTCGCCATTTTGTGTATGTTACATCTACAGTAAAAGGCTAATATAGGCTATAACGCTATTAATCGGAAACCATAAGTTTTCCGGACAGTTTTCATAGGACACTTATGACACTCACGGGGCGAAATGGGTCGATGGATTTATGCCGCCACCTTACGTCTCAAAATTAGCTACGTTGAAAACCCAAAGACTTGTACTATTAGACGGGCACTTCAGTACTAATAAAAAATGGTACTAATAAATACATTGCGCATTAAGTTACAGTCAATTCTCCATAACTTCTTTAGTTGAGTGTGAGCGGGCTAGAAGACTAGTTGTTTGTTTTGTGAACCGCGAACGTTGTTTTCGGTAATCTAACACTGACTTTGTAATGTGACTAAGAAATCACTTTGTTTTAGAATCTATGTAACTTAATGTCGTATATTCCTAAAAATAGTAACTGTCGTAAATGAAAATACTACTGCGTGGCATATTTTCAGTGCCAGCTACCCTTAGGCCCGATTTACATTTAGAAAATCATCATTCGACCATTCATTCACTCTCAAAACCTGGTCTGAAAAAAAGACAAGTTGAAAAAGAGCTACCTCCTCTTTTTGACGTATATAAAATATATTATATTGTATTGTTTAGACTAAGCAATAAAACTAACACATCAGCATTTTATATAAGATTCCTAGTACTTAGTTGATGAGTCGAACGTCTGCGTACGAACAGGCTCTTTAAAATTGATTCATTATTAAGGCCACCTCCAAATCGGTGAGACGTATTAATTTAGTTGTAGTTTAGTTTTTAAAAACTCCTTTCGACGTTCCCGAAATTTGACTAGCTTGTTGTTGGTACTGGCAGTGGCAGCTCGGACTACAGCGTGCGCGTGTGGCGGCTGTCAGGCGAATACCTGCAGACGCTGGGCAGCTTCGTACCCTGGACCCTGGAATCCACACGGTTCCCGCCTGACGTAAAGAAAGTCGCCAGCTCTACTACTTTCAAGGTATTTACAATGAAGTTTATATGATTAAATTTACACTACAATTATCTTTCGGAATCAAGTCTACCCGCAAAATATTTAAGAACAATTAACTTCTTTGTATAAATGTTAATATGTAATAAAAATTCTCCCCATTTAAAATACTTTTATATAATAATTGTATAATAATAATAATAACTTTTATATAATAATTTTGTATAAAAAGTGTAAGTATTTCATTCCATGTCATTTCATTTTATTTCATTGTTTAATTTTCGAGTCGCGTTGAACGTTTTTATTCTGAAGGTATAAATTGATGTGATATTTTAGTAAACTATATATTTTATACTTTATTTCATTTTTAGCATGTAATCTTTTTGTTGCTCTTACATTTGCTGTGGCTGAGCCAATATAACATTTGATTTGTCAGATTCCAAGATGTAATATTCATTAACATAATTTCGAAGTAGCCGGGTTTAATCCAAAAACGAATAAAATATAATTGGTAGAGCCACTCTGCAGTCACCATCGGGGAAGTACCACGCTCTCACAGAATACCGGGATGAAATAGCACGAACAAACGAAAGATGTGTTCCGTAATTACGTGTATAGTTCCCCTTATTTCCGTATTGTACATTTAAGGCTTTGGAGATATAATACATTAATGTGATTTTTAAGTACACAGAGATCGGTGTGTCGGTGACCCATCTTCCTTTCGTTTCGTATAATAGTTTCGTTTCGTTTCGTATATTAGAATGCGACTACGGGGAATGAGCAGCAGTATGGTAATAAATAAAACTGGTCGCCAACTCACTTGCTAAGTGCGTGCATATTTATGAGGGATGCTTGCAAGTCCACGGCTGAAGACTTTTGATCATCTACGAGTATAATTCAGGTCGGAATGTTGAGCTTGTGCAAGTGTGTGGTGGGGTTTTGGTGGGCGACTGATTGCTGCTCCTGTATTATTGTTTGAATAATGGTTTGAAGTGGCTTCTAATAAACAAAATCGTATCATTTTTATGTATTAAATATGTGCGCATGTAAACTATAAGTGGAAAAACAAGTCTTCCGAAGATGATATGAACCTCAAGTTGTTGTGTAGCCGCACTGTAGCAGATACGACGCCTTAAGATACTGTCGTCATCATACGTTTGCTGACTCAAGCTGCCGTCGAAATCTCCCGAAATCCTCGCAATGTGACGCATCATCAACATATTGTAAAGAAGTTTTTTAACAAATTGTGATAGAGGTTGTTTGAACAAATTGTGATGAGGTGTGTTTCATATTATTGGACACTGGCAAAAGTACAACTGTACGAGTCCATTATCTGCAAACTGCACACATGTTTTTTTCATTATCCAAGGAAAAAAAACATGTGTGCAGTTTACATGCGATAGAAGGAAAACCTTCAGAAATTGAGAGTAAAAGTGCTATGTAATAGCGCCATCTACTTCATAGTATAACTAAAGTAATTTTATTGAATAAAAAATGATTGACTCTCAAGGATGATAAGAAACATTGTATTCAGTATTCATTCATTTTCTCGTAGGCTGAATCCAACTGTTTAGGTTTGTATGTTTTAGTGTCACTTTTTGTTTCATCGAGGTCCAAATCACGAGGAAACTAAAGAAGTTTTCACTTGAAAAAAATCGGAGTGTGGCTGTGTCGTGGACACTGTCGTTTTACGTGAATATGTGCAGTGAAATGACCTTAAAATGGCGACACTCTCCCCTACGATGCGCGCGATGTATACAATACAGTTCTCACTCAACGTAACGATTTTTTTTAAATCTTTAGCTATTGAAAGTAAAGTTACAGCCTATATACGTCCTACTGCTGGGCACAGGCCTCCTCTCATTTCTGAGAGGGTTAGTATTCGTATGTGTGTATTTATGTCTACGTTACCATATCGACTTAGAGTATTTATTTTTTGATAATATTACGAAAATAGAAAGGTATTGTGCCTTTTTTGGGTATATGGTTAGGACTTAGGATATTATTACATTGAATCGGAATGTTCTTTGTTTGTTTTTGGGACATAATATGAAAATAATAAGGTATAGTGCCTTTTCTAAATAATTTGTTGCATTTATTTTCCTTTGTTTTTATTTCATTAATTATAATAGGTGACCTTTTTAAAAATTTCTTAATATTTTCGACCGTTAAAAATTGTTTTTTATATTCTATATAATCGATGCATAAATTAATTACAAATGTTTTTTAAGAAATTAAAAGCATTCAAATATTTAACATTCATATTGATCAGTTTACAATTCTCAAAATGTTTTGTCCATGATTTTATATTATTATTTTTGTCAAAATAAGGATTATAGCATACAGGCGTTAGAAAGACAGAGACTTTACTTAACTTGCTTAAAGCTATACAAATATTGGAGTGTAATTTATATATATTTTTATCATTATTACATACTTAAAATAACAATGTCATTTACTGTCAATTTTTCGTTGACAACTTTATATTTCAGTACTAGTTGCTCCGGACAGGATTAATGCCGTGGGAATATAGATATCATTCCACTTGCTCTGCATGGTATTTATAAGTGAAGCTGACAATCCCTTTAGTTGTTCATCCCCAATAATGTAAATAAATCTTTTTTCATTTTGCTTTTGTGTATTACTGCCATCTATCGGTGTTTCGCGAATACCGTTAGAGTGAGAGTTTTATCGATTTGTTGTTCTGTTTGAATAGTAATATTATTTGTTTCTGAGGTAAATGGCACTGATGTATTAACATGTTTAGTTGATTCTCTTTTATGGCGATTAATATTTTCCTCAATTTGAGAAAACTCTAACTTCATTTTTGTCAAACTTTTTTCCCTTTTTTAGCATTTTTTTTCGTCGTGGATTTGCATAATATATAAGTTAACTGTAATGATTTCTTATATTTACGCGAACACTATACGTTGATTAAAACTACTTTTACGGATTTTATCGCGTTTTATTTATATTAATTTTAATAACCCGACGTTTCGGGTGCTTTCCAGCACCCATGGTCACGGGGGACTGAGGTGACTGACGTCCCGATGTCAAAGTTAACCTGGAGTACCTTCAGCTTTTTAATTATTGTCTTTGGTCCGATCTACGCAGAATGAACTAACTGTATTTTGAAGTCTTGCTTGTGAATCTCACCATCATCCTTCACAATTAGCTACCGTGGGCAAATCTTTGTTTCAGAGAGCACGAGGGATTTGTGACAGCGAACACCTGGCCGCCGAGCTTCAGCACGTCAAGCAGGTTCTGCACGACAACAAGCTTCGGGCCCCGCGCCTCCGTCACAGTGACCGAGTGAAGCCGGCCACAGTCGAGCGTGTGCCTGCTATACTACCATATGTCAGAGGTGTCACAGACAAGATTGGCTACATCTTGAAGCGAGCTTCTATTAGAACATTCTACAAGCCGCCGAAGAAGATTAGTCAGTTCTTACCATCCGTCAAGTGTCATATTCCTCTACAAGATGCAGGAGTGTACAAGCTTGATTGTGATTGTGGTCTCTCATATATAGGGCAAACAAAGAGATCAATTAGAACCCGCGTAAAAGAACACATAGCTGACGTGAAGCATCAACGTTCCGGGAAGTCTGCAGTTTGCGATCATATTCTAGATGGCCCCAACCATTACATCAGATTTGATAGACCACAAATCCTCGCGAAAGAACATCGATTCCTACCAAGGATGATACGTGAGGCTATTGAAATTAAAAAAACATCCTAATTTCAATACAGAAGGAGGCTGGGTACTACCACCTGCTTGGGATCCTATAATTAATAAAATTAAAACTAAACCCAAGCATACCACTGTAAGACTTCAAAATACAGTTAGTTCATTCTGCGTAGATCGGACCAAAAACAATAATTAAAAAGCTGAAGGTACTCCGGGTTAACTTTGACATCGGGACGTCAGTCACCTCAGTCCCCCGTGACCATGGGTGCTGGAAAGCACCCGAAACGTCGGGTATTAAAATTAATATAAATAAAACGCGATAAAATCCGTAAAAGTAGTTTTAATCAATATAAGTTAACTGTTTAATTTTTAATTTATATTAAAAATTAAGGAAATTCGTTTAGTTAGCATCTGATTTTCCGATAACAAATTTTCAATTTCATTTTCTGCTATTTCCAGTTTTTGTTCTAATTTGTGAGTTTGCTCTTTTAATTCTTCAATTTTATAATTTAGATTTCTTTTTATTTCTGTATAGCTTCTATTTAAGGTATTAATTGAGGTTGAAGTCAAGGACGAGTAATCACCTTCTGTTTCTTCATCTGATAGTTCAGTTAAAGGAGTTAGCCGTATGAACGTTGATGCTCTGGCGATATGGTCGTGGATCTTGGGATGTTTGTTTATTACATAAAGGTGAGAGGCATGCGTGACATTTATAATTTTTCTTTCTGTCATGCGTCATTAAAACGAAACGTCGATACGAGACACTAGTGCAATCTAAATGATAATATTTTTCACAAAGTACACAAATTAGAAAATCCTTTTTAGTTATTTTCTTGCCGCATTTTTTACAGTTTAGCGTCATCTTGCGGATGATATCAGAAACTGTGTTAAAGTCTTGCGTTAAATAAGATATACAACTTCCAAAGGATCAAGGTTCAATGTGCATTTGAATATAAACGAACGTTTGAAATATTTTTTTTCTTATTCCTCAGACATGCAGGTTTCCTCACGATGTTTTCTTTCACCGCCGAGCACGTGGTAAATCAGCACTTAAAATTGCAATTAACAATTTCATTGGTGCCGGCGGGGATCGAACCCGGGTTACTCGCGTTCTGTTATATTTACAGCGAGCGTTAACGATATGAGCTACCACGGCTCTTATAGCTATTGAGCGATGTAATAAAATTTTGGATGTAGACGATAAATATGAAGCTGCAATACCAGACTGTAGCCCCCGATTTTGTTATCGTGAATTTTATAAGGAAGCAAATTTAGAGACTTATTCACGACAGTTGTGTGTGGCATGCAGGTGTGGCGCGGGGGCTATGTGTCCCGCTACGTGCCAGGGCGAGTGGTGGCGGATGTGTCGGACGTGGACGCTGACGAGTTGCGCACACGCACGTGGGGCGCGGCGCCCCGCGGCCCGCTGCTGGGCCGCCACACCGCGCTGCCTCCGCGCCCCGCGCCGCAGCCGCCGCCGCACCTGGACCGCTCGCTGCCCACCGTGCGTGTACACTGCACACTACACACTCTGCAATTGTGCTTTTGTCATTACTTTTTTACGTAGTAGAGCCATGCTGCAGTTATATAATGGTTGTAGCACAAATGGGTCAGCTCTGATGGTAAGTGGTTGCTGTGACCTATAAACATCCACATTTAACCACTATTAAGAATCAAAATGCAGATGCGTTGTCAGTCCTGAGGACTAAGTTGAAATGCCTCGACCCTAGTAAAACGGGTCTCCGGTTCTCTACACTCACCATACGAAACACAGCAGCTTTAAGCTGCTATTTTACGCTGGTATTCTCTGAGAGCGTGGTCCTTCCCTGGTCGAGCCAATCCATTCTTGCTACAACCACAATATAGCTCCAGCGTATATAGAGTCAGCGTAAGTGAGAGAGAGATGGTAGAGCCCCAGGTACATAGAGTCCCGGCGGTTCGATAAAAATGAGATTGACTTCATTATGACAACCAAACGCCAACTGTTCGATGGTGTCTCAGTGATCTCAGTAAGTGTAATGCAATGGGCGATTTTCCATTTACCGGCACGGCACCGGCGCTGTGCCGTCGCTGTGCCGACGCTGTGCCGACGCTGTGCCGGTGCCGTGCCGGTAAATGGAAAATCGCCCAATGATTCTATGTATATTACTAGACGGGCTCTACGGGCTTAATACATTGTGAACTAAGTTACGGTCAATGCCCCCTAACTCTTTTAGTCAACTGCGAGCAAGCGAGAAATCTAGTTCTTTGTTTTGTAAACCGCGAATGTTGTTTCCAACAATCTAACACTGAGTTTGTTTTAATGTGACTATGAAAACGCTGTCATTATTTATATGTGTACGTACTTTATGTATGTACTTTGTCAACTTGGTTTGAAGTTCATTTCAGGTGTGTAATTTTATTTCCCCCTAAAACAGTAAATTTTATTTGCGCCCGAAGCAATAAGGGCAACCCTCCGGACAGCGGGGAGGGAAGCGGTGAATGCTCATAGCATACCACGCAGCCGGCTGCGTGGTTATGTAGAGACTTTTACCCACTAAACATCGCCTTTAGAGATCTTTAAGCCGTAAACGGACGCGTTCCTCCTTGGCAGAAAGGAGGGCGCAAGCGGCGAAAAGCCGCTTGGAAGTGTGCCTAACTAAGGCAGATTAAAGGATGTGTAAGGGAAGTAGGCTCGGCCTGAGCCGCCAGGAGGCAGTTCAGGTCAGCCGAAAGCTTGTTGGGGGGGGGGGGTCCGAGAGAGAGTTTCTCGGTTTGCGCACACTATAGCAAGTGGGAAGAGGGGCTGCGTAGACAGCTGTCTCACGAATGAGGCGATTTGAGTGGGACTCTGAGGCTTTGAAAGATCTCTCATAGAGTGATTTGAGGAACTGCTGAATTGTTGGGAGCTCTAAGTCTCGGTGGAGGTCGGCGTTACGGACAAAAGTTCATTTATAAGGTTGGGATTAGCATGTGTGAAAATGGGGGCACTAACAGTAACTGTCGTAAATATCTTAATATTACCATACATATTACCATACTTCGTGGCATATTTACCATGCCAGCTGCCCGCCCAGCTGCGAGCGCGCGATCCGCAGCTGTGACACAGGTTTTGTTCTAAATTGCCGGTCTAGTAATATATATATAGTGTTTGCTTTCCACTTTACTTTTCATACGATGATTTGTTGAAATTGGAACGTGTAGCGTGCACAAAGGTAAGTGTGACGGTGCGTGTCCAGATCCCGCTGTACACGCACATGCGTGTGAGCGGCACGCAGGCGGTGCGGCGGCCGCCCACGCCCGAGCTGGTGCGCGCCACACGGCTGCGGCGCGGCGCACCGCCGCAGCGCCGCACGAGGTTCGGCGCGCTGCTGTAGCAGTCGCGTTGCTGTCTTACCGCAACATGGCGCGTAATGAGGGATAATAATCTTACGCTCACCAGATGTCGCTAATACTACTGGGGTGAAGTTATTTGTTACACAGTGTCAACATACGTGTTTCAAATAAAACTTTTGTGGTTTCTATTGTATACACCCATACTGGATGACCTTTTTTACCATCTGGAAAAAAATAGGGTGTCACATGTGAGCGTGTGAATAAAATTTTTGAATTAAATAAATAAATAAATTAGAATCTATTGAAATTTAAATCGTATCCACCCTACTTTACGAACGGCAATAAAACAATAATTTTAGTGGGCATCTTGAACCTTGTCACTTTGCACGCTCACAGGCTCAAGAGCCAAGGGCAAAGTAATTGTTCAAAAAATTTCAAACGATTTATTCTATAATTTTGTTTTTATTTTTTATATCAGTGCCATAGGCTTCTACTCCGTTCACATGCTACACCCTATTTTTTTCCAGACGGTATAAAGGTCATCCAGTATACACAACACAATACGTTTTAGGTTGCTCTTAATTTATTTGCACATTTTAACCATCTTTTTAATTATTTTAATAAATAATATCCGTAATTTGGTTTATCAAATTTTCAAGAAAGAAATTTTAAACTGTACATCTTTCTATTTGTTTATTTTCATACTTCCCCACCATGAAATCTGTCAAATATTTCAAATTAAAATGGAGCCGCGCCGGTCTGGTAAACGTCGAGGATGCCCTCATTCCCTCATTCATTAACCAACACAATAGCTGACGTGTTACTGCCAAAGACTTGTGTATTGTACTTGTGTATTGTATACCTACTAGACGGGCTCTTTACTGTGACAGCTACGCGCTGAGCAGCCGCCATAGTTTTTGTACTGTATTGCCGGTCTAACAGTATACGAAAGTCTTAAGTTAGTTAGCTTTAGTTCGTCGTAATATATAGAAGTCTTTGATTCCTGCATAACCTGCATTACTGCAGACAGGCGGTAGCCATTACAATAAACACCGCATCGCTACAAACAAACCAATAGCGAATATAATAATCACTGACAACTATATAGCCGACTTAACTAGAAATAAAGTTGGATTTAATATTTATTTAAGAAACAAAATTGAACGTCCATTACATGCCTAACATTATAATCGTGTTCATGAGGTTTCTTAACCTCCTTGATCTCTAGTTACAGTCACGTTTTCACAGTTAGCCGTTATCTTAAACTTAAAGTCCTGATCAAAGAACGAGTTACAAGCTTGCTTTAAAGATTGTGACTGCTTCATTTGCGGCTCGTTGTTGCTAATAGATTGGCGTTAAACAGAGTTTGTTCAACAACATGACAAATTTCATACAACGGCTCACAAGGTCATAGTTTTGCTATGATCCATCCACTAACGAGATTAAAAGTATAGTCTTCGAGACCGCGGTAAAGCTCGTCCTACTATCAGGGCTTTTAGATAATTAGTTATGACTTTTAGAACAGAATTTCTCATTGATTTTTACTTAATAGAGGATGTACACTTTAGTTTTTGAGTATACTACAATACATATGCCACTTTTAAATATTTTGTCGTCTTTGAACGAACATTTAAATTGAATGAACGTAATATTAGAAACAAACGCGGCCTGCGGAGCTGGAACTCTTTCACAATTTGTACTACCTCCGTTTTTACTTAAAAATCAACTCTCACAATTTGTAATACGAACTCAACTTTATTCAAACTTTTAAATCAACCTTATTAATTTCTTAAATTTACTAATTTAACTTTAGTATACGTAATAAATTGTTTTACTTATTAGTATGTTATTTATTAATTACTGGTTCCATAGAATTATTACTATAATAATTATCTACTTTTATATTCTATAGTATGTTTTATACTTTATAATTGATTTTGATTTGGCAAGCTTTTTTTGGGTTTTAAAATAAATGAAAACATAACGCAACCTATGGTTTTAATAAATTAACACTGTCATAAGATATAAGAATTGAAGAAAAATCTTTATAAGAGGCTTCCTTATAAAAGTGCAGTATAAGTATTTATTTATAAAAGATACGGTATAGTCCATCTGAAGTAATTGTTTTTAAAAACAACGTTACCCCCACAATAGAATTTCCTTCCTCACGATATACGTGAGGGCAGTTTACATACTTTTAGTGTAATAAATCAAAAGAACATTTTCTTACGAGTGAAATTGCTTTGTCGTAGCGCCATCTTCTTCATTTTATAGATATAGTCTAAACACGCCTAATTTAATAACTAGTATTTCATGGCAAATTAAACGTTGCAATTCTTATTTTTGGACATGTAGAGCCTAAATTTTAGTGTAATAAATCAAAAAAACATTTTCTTACTAGTGAAATTGCTTTGTCGTAGCCCCATCTACTTCACTCTATAGATGTAGTCTAAACACGCCTAATTTAAAAACTAGTATAATTTCATAGCAAATAAACGTTGTCGTTATTTTTGGACACATAGAGCCTAAATTTTAGTGTAATAAATTAAAAGAACATTTTCTTACGAGTGAAATTGCTTTGTAGTAGCGCTATCTATTTGATTCTATAGATATAGTCTAAGCACGCCTAATTTAATAACTAGTATAGTTTCATGGCGAATAAACGTCTCAATCCTTATTTTTGGACATGTAGAGCCCAACTTTTAGTGTTATAAATCAAAGATACATACATACCTTTCACAAGGACAAACATCCTGTTCAGCTCACCTGGGCATTACATATTTGCCCCGCAGCAAAGCTGACTCTCCAAAGGAGGCGGCTGTGCTGTTGAGGGCACAAAACAAGGGGCTCCATACCGAGCTCTGGAGAATCCTCCACTAGTTCCTAGTAACCTTTTCTCTGGTCGACCCATCGGCGGAGGCTCTTCGGAAGGCAGGCGGCAGAGTCATCCTTGGCTTTAAAATGATAACTTTTAATGTCAAGGGAGGCTCTGACTCGGCAATGTAGCCCGAACCGCCCCAACTCCGATCCCCCAGCCCTCCGCCTCTCGAGGTGAGACTGGAACGCCATCAGTGAGAGTGACGAAGACTCAAGGCGCTAATCTCGCCTCGGTCCGTTAAAATAAAATATTGAACTTTTAGTTGTTTCAGAGTACTGCAATGATGACCTGGTTACAACCTTCATAAATCTTAAGGGATATACAGGGTCTAGAGTAATCATTTGCACAGCCTATCTTCCCGGAGAGAACGCAGATCCCACCATCGAGTTACCACCCACCACCGAGAGTAGAGCGAGTGGCGGAGTTCGCCCGAAAACACAACGCCGAACTTGTGGTAGGTTGTGATGCTAACGCTCACTACACAGCCTGGGGAAGCACTAACATCAACGAAAGAGGTGTGTATGGTAAGCCTAAACTTAGGATGTACACCAACCTTTGTTAAGCGTGCTAGGCAAGAAGTGTTAGACATAACCTTTGCTACCAATAACATGTCCAGGTGGATAAATGACTGGCATATTAGTAGTGAAAACTCGGTGTCCGATCAGAAACATATTAAGTTTGTAACCTATGAAACCGTTGCTTTTAGGAATCCAGAAACGACCTCCTGGGATATCTACAGAGACAGCCCAAGGAGGAATTTGGAAACATTTCCTAAAAGCATCAAAACGATTGAAGGTCTGGAGTTAGCGACGGAGACAGTAACCGTAGTTGTTCGTGAAGCCTTCGAGGACAGTTGTCCCGTCAAAACCAAGACTTCAACATGAAAAGTTCAACATGAAAAGGTGGAATAATAGGCTAAAAGGACATAGGGAAATGAGCAGGAAACTATTTAATAGGGCTAAGAAAACCAAAGAGTGGGATGTTTATAGTGCAGCCCTAACTGAATATAATAAAGAAATTAGGAAAGCCAAGAGAGCATCGTGGAGGAAGCTATGCGAGGAAGTTGAGTCCTTTGCCTTGCAGTGCAAGACTACACAAAATGCTATCAAAAGCTAAACCTAATCAGATCGGGCTTCTTAAAAAGCCTGATGGTAACTTCACTAATAGTGAAACAGAAACATTGGAGTTAGTAGCGTCTACCCATTTCCCAGGATATCACAAGACTTCAGCCTTGAATTCTTTCAGAGTCCTACGAAGGCCTTGTAATGAGGATTGGTGTAGGGCTGCAAAGATAATAAGGCCAAACCTGGTGCAGTGGGCTGTTGACTCTTTTAAACCGAATCGAATAACTCCTATCCAACTACAGAGAGGTATCGACATCCTTCTTTCCTATCTAGTGAAAATCCTCAGAGCAAGTTTTGCATGGGGATATATTCCAGAACACTGGACAATTGTCAAAGTTCTATTTATATCTAAGGCTGGTAGGAAGGACTACGCTTTGCCAAAGTTCTTTAGACCTATAAGCCTATCTTGCTTTCTCCTTAAGACATTGGGAAAGGTTATAGATAGATTAAGGGATTTAGTTCTAGCTACAAGGCCCATACATTACAACTAGCATGCTCACCGTAGAGCCAAATGTAAGGAAACAGCCCTGATCAGTGTCATTGACAGGGTCGAAAAAGCACTGGTGGATAAAGAAATAGCTCTTTGTGCCTTTCTAGATATTGAGGGCGCCTTCGACAGTAGCCCCACATTGCTGCTGATTGGGGGCCTGACATCTAAAAATGTTGATCCCAAAACCATCAGATGGGTGAAGTCGATGCGCTCAAACAGAAAGGCAAAAATTGCGTTGTTTCAAACTTCGATTGAGGTTGCAACTACAAAAGGCTGCCCACAAGGAGGTGTTTTGTCACCCCTTCTCTAGACTCTTGCGGTTGGCTAGCTATTGTGCAAGATGGCAGACCTACGCATTGACTCACTGGGTTATGCTGATGACCTTGTATCATTGCGAGGGGCTTTTGCCAAAGTACTTTATCGTCAATCATACAAAGAGCCCTAAACACCATAAATAACTGGTGAAGGGATAACAGTTTATCAGTTAATGCTAATAAAACCGTTTTAATACCCTTTATCAAAAAGAGACCGTTGGACAAATTAGTCACACCAAAACTCAATGGTAAAAATGTACCATTTTCCAATGAAGTTAAGTACTTGGGCATAACAATCGACCAAAAATTACTGGGAACATCTGGGGCTTGCGTCCCAGTATGGTCCTATGGTAGTACAGCAGCATAGTGAGGCCGATTCTCACCTACGCCTCTATTGTCTGGTGTAACAAGTCCGACCAAAAGACGACTGCGAACAGACTAAATAGTCTAGAAAAGCCTGCCTGCTTAATGGCAACTGTACCTATGTGATCATCGCCTGGAGCGGCTCTTAATGCACTTCTATGCCTAACGCCCCTTGATCTTTATCTAGACAAGGAGGCGAGGGCTAGTTTATATAGGATTAACGCCCAGGGCGGTCTGAGCTTGCTCTCCTACAGATTGAGATCCATGCTTGACTCAATTAGGGAAACACCGGTCTTATGCATGATCTAAGATATCATGCGTCCACTACACACTTTTGATAAAAATATATAGTGGAATTACCCTCCAGAGAAAACTGGCTGAATGGCCAGGTTATCTATAGGCGGGGGGGGATGGGTCTAAAATGGGACTCGACGTAGGCTTTGGAATTTACGGGGAACGCCCCAATTCAAACTTAGTATGAATTTGGGTAGATTCACCTCTATCTTCCAGGCAGAAATTTTCGCCATACTTCAGTGTGCGGAAATCATTTTGCAAAAACACTACGTCAACCATATAATTTATATAAACTCTGATAGTCAAGCAGCATTGCTAGCGCTGAGTCAAACTAAGTGAACTCGAAGCTAGTTGGAGACTGCGTGAACCGTTTAAACGCCCTGGGATGTAACAAAAGGGTCGTCTTAAGATGAGTTCCGGGTCTCACGGCTATTGTAGGCAACGAATTTGCCGACAAACTTGCACGGGAGGGCTCAAAGTGCGTACAATTTGAACCTGAGCCATTTTGTGGAATCTCAAGAAGCCTAGCCCCATTGACCCCTGAAACTCTTTATAACAATTAATCACTTAATATCTGGTCTGACACACCAGGCTTAAAACATTCTAAAACCTTAAACCGGGCTTTTGTAATCGTAAATTCGCTTCATAAGCCCTGAGGTTAAGTAAAAATAAATTGCGCATTCTGGCAAGAGCCCTAACTGGACACTGTTGCCTTAAAAAGCACATGTCCATCCTGGGACTAAGCAACTCAAGGATGTGTCGGTTCTGTTCCATAACGGAAGAAACGCCTCTGAACATCCTAACTGATTGCGGACCCTTAATGCGCAAACGTAACACTCATCTGGGAAACTGTACTCCACCCAGAATAAGTGAAATTGCTCATGGCTAAGCAACTCCTTTTATTCATTGAAGACCTAGGGCTTAGCAGTGAACTATAGCCATAGCAGCGATCACAATAGATCTTTTAGTTCGCAGTGATACTGGTCTCTTTCCCGAGATCTGCCTAGCTGCTCGCACATAATAAAAGAGAAGTCATACCATTACTTAGTTTCGAACTCGCGATACTCAGCGCCGCTATTCGTTGTTATACTAACTATCTTTCTGCCCAGCAAAGTCTCAGTCGAGTGAACATTAAATAGGCTGATGATTGTTTTCATTATTATTAATTTTAATTTTTAAATTTCATTATAATTCTTATTTCCATTATTATTATTATTATTTCATTTGGTATTCTATTTAAGCTCCCAGGGGTGACATCGCACATGTTTTCTTAATCAAGATGTAGGTGTCTATGAACCACAGCATCCAGTTACCATGAGGTGGAACTGTTTGTTCATTTCATCACTCTTATTTCTATAAAAATGGTCTTATTCGACTATGACCAGAATATTTCGGGGTTATAATATCGATTCGACTTGAGATGGACTTGAGAATCAAATTCAGTTGCAGTAAATTAAACTGGACTCCATCTTAACAGTATGAATTAGCTTTATAATTATTGTGTTTAGCTTTTACATTTTATGATATTTGCAACTTGGCGGACTTTGACCGACCAAGGAACAGCAGCTTATCTGTGGGATTTGTCAATGAACTAGCAGCGAGCAGCGATAGCAGGACTCGTGTAAAAATACCAAACTCCCGTTGAGTTACAGTGGGATTGCCCTTGAAGCGGCGGACACGAGCATAGATAGGGTGCCCACGCATCAGTCCGCTCGCAGAGGTACGTAACCTTTTCTATTTAGCTATAAAATTAAAAAAATATTTTTGTTGTATTGTTATTGTGAATTATGATAACTTTACAATTATTTTTATTTTTAGGGGTTTTAATAGAAATAGATAAACCAAAAAATGGTTAGTTAAGTAAAGTTAAAGTTCTCTCATTTGTGAGGGGGTTTTAGGGTAAGGAAAATTTAAACGTTTATGTCCGTCGCCTGTTTGTGCAACAAGCCATAAAAATCTAGATCTTTCCTAATTTAGGAAGATTTGCTGTATGTAATCCACGGTGTGTCGACGTATAGACAAAATCTGGATAGCTTATACTAATGCTTTGAGCTCACCTGATGGTAAGTGGTTCAGTTTCGAATGGCAAAACCTCCTAAGCTTAGTAACAGGGGTAAATCTCCTTTCTTGAAAACCGGTCAGTATTACTACAATTCTCCGCTGTGTAGATTAGGTATAAATGACGATAGGTACATAGATATGGATTGGGTAATGCGTCTGAATGTGCAGTCTGTCGTATTGCGATTATAACTGCTTCCTAAACTCAGCAATCTCTAAACTTGGAACAATGCGTTATCTAGCCTTGTATGGTTTAAAGGTAATGGCGGTTATAAGGTCATAAAAGTCAGTTAAATATTAATTTTACTCGCATGGGAATTAAATTTCTAACTTTATAATCAGTTAAAGAGAAAGAGATATTTTCTTTAGAAATGATATAGGAATATCAGTATTGATATTATAAGTATATTTTTATGTAATAAAAAATAATTTCCTACAGACCGAGTTTCGCTCACAGCGGCCAGTCTCAACTGAGACAAGCCATCTGCGTAGGACAGGATTACAGTACTCCAAAGTATGCATGAATCAGATGCAGTCTCTCCCTTACTCTCATGGTCCGATGAGACAGCAATTCGACACGACCTACATTTCGAGGCACGGGGGTAAAATACCCAGTGTGGCTCACACTATCTGCCTGTTTCTGGGCTGTTGGTGAGAATTTCTTCACTTTTTCTGTCACCCTATAACTGATTTTTGGTGCAATCCAGGATTCGAACCTGGGACATCATGATCAGCAATTACGTGTACGACCTCTAGACCAACGGGCAGTCAGTTTTACATAATATTAATTAGTGTATCTTTAAATTGCTTCGTTATAAAACATTAATTTGAAATAAAGTCCAACTGGGTTTTTGCTAGTTCTTTTAGGACAGAGGTTTTTACTGCACCAGTGGTTAAATCAAAATAAAACTTCTATACTCTATCAAATTAATTTGTTATTGTGTTTCTAAGTGTAAATCGTACCTATTAGTTTATCGTTTAAGTTAGCTTTCAATGTTTAGGACAACTGGCCATTGTGTATTGCAACATGGGGTTGGTAGCCCAGTCCACGCAAGATGGCGACTCGCGTTACCGCGCCGCTGGCCTCGCTGCTGTTACTGCTTTTAGGTAAACGTTTGCCTCTAATACCTTGCGTGGAGTAAACTACCAACGCGTGCTTAACACAATAGAAATAAAAAGTACTAACTATGTAGATTTCATATATTTACGCGAACACTACACATTGATTAAAACTACTTTTAAGGATTTTATCGCGTTTCATTTTAATTGATTTTTAATTCCCGTCGTTTCGGGTGCTTTCCAGCACCAATTATCACGGGGGACACTAACTATTTTAAAATCATCGTTAGAATCAAACAAAGGAAAGAAAGTTCGCAGCATAATCGTTTCGTAATTGTTCGCATCGAAGATTGCGGTAGTGGACTGGAAAGGAAACTGGTGTATATAACGTTACGTATAACAAGTAAACGGTAGGTAGCACAGCAGTAGGGAGCAGCCAGAAAGTCAATATCAACACTAGCAGTGATGATATTTTAATTATTTATTTTATCTTTTATTGCAAGCACGTTTAACATGGGATTTCAAAAGTTGACTTAGTGCTTTATGGATAATCTCTATAACCAACCCTTTGTCAATTACTAAATATATACGCTATAAAACAAAAACGCTTAATTCGCATCTGTACTTAAAATTAACCTGTTACACAGAATAAATAATAGTTCTATACGCAAATATAATTTAGCTACCAGTGGAGCCCTATTGCTTACCTTTGATGGAGTCAAGTTACGCAAGAGCATGATGGGATCCCCAATCTTCAGCGAAATATTGCGCGCTGGAATACTAGAAGTATATAAATAATTTTTAAAATTTTACCGGATAATTCGTAGCAACATCCGGATTAATAACAGAGTTTATCAGTGTGTAATTTTTTTGAACTAAATGTTCAATGACGCGGTCATTCCTGGGTGTTAAGATTACCCGATCAGTTTTCTTTTTGCGATGTGTGAAAAGGATCTCCATGAATAAGTTTGAGCTCTTCGTCGCCTATTAGAAAACTCTTATCCCGATTTTCGAGAAGACCTATCTCCTCCTATTTGTGCTGTTAAGTTCACTTTCAATGCAAATTTTGAAGTCTGGCGAAAATCCCATATCCCCTTCTGCGTATATTCCGTAGTGTCCTGTCAACAGCTTCGACGGCTTATACTGCACTCATCTCAAATGATATGGAAGCAGTCTGCAACACCTAATCACTATTACGTGTTTAGCCACACAGAGGATTTTTGTGACTATTACAGAGATAGATGGGAATTATAAAGCAGTGTGAACCGTTTTGACATTAGAAAGTTCCGTTACAGCAACACCTGAATACGCCACTGCTAAAGTTATTTTCCCCATTTTCCTTACCTTCATCAGAATGACTCGAGTGAGAAATATCTTGTCAGTTATAACGGGGCGATAGGGAAAAACATTTAGGCTTCTCCATTACACGATGTGCTCGCAACGAAATTGAATATAAGGTTTTGTTCCGTTGTCAATAGGGATATTTTTGCTAAGAAACGATTATTAAATATTAAGAAACGAACATTTTACCCCCCAGATTTATTTGCTGCACTGTCAACCGTTAATTATTTTAAAATGTCTTATTCTTAGTTCTTGTTGTTATCGTTGAGACTGAACATCTGACATGTTCTGTTAGGTTTTAAATTTCTTGAAATAAGTACAAAATATAAAGATATTGTAACAAAATTTAACTTTTTTTATCAAAGAAGTAGTAGAATTAAAACGATATTTTATTTTATCGTATCTTCATTGTTCAGGTGCACACAACGCGGCTGCAGCATGTACGAACGTGACAATGTTCTCCATCCAGTTGGATACATTGTTGGCAGAGTATGACCGCGAGGCGATGCCCAGCTCGCGCGTGGTGGTAGAACTCTCTCTGGACGTACGACATGCTACCATCAACGAGCAGACATCTTCCGCCCGGATGCTGGCCGACTTGAAGATGGTAATTAAATAAATTACTGTGAAGCTACATCTGAATTCGATGCTCCTGCATCATGTTCTAAAGTAATGCGTGGTTCTTTGCGAAAAATTAGGTCTTCTATGTATTAAGCGGGTTATATACACCAAAGTTATAAACAACTAAGTGATACTAGATGTTTATATACATGAATATCATCGTATAGGTAGCACTAACAGTATTAGCGTTTCATTGTTACATACATATTTTGGGAAAAAACAAAGGGACATATGGTGTAGAATATCATAGTGACATCGATCACTAACCGAAATCAGCATCGCAGTCTGTATATACAGTATTCGGATACACAGATTATCTAAGGTGGAAAACTGCTACCGATTAAACTCAGAAGAATGCGTAACTAGATGATTATTCCGTAACTAGTAAATATATTCTACAATTGTACCTGACATTGCTTTTAAAATAATTACCTAAGAGAAAAATATGAGTATTTTTTTAAATTCGTTTTAATTTTTGCGTTAGACCACCTAGTCGCAGTTCGAACTCGTTTAGGTAATAGCTGCATCAGTTACTCAATAATAAGCAGGTGACACTACTGTTCCATCTTGTTTAGTACACACTACAAACAGCTGGAATGATTAAGTAAAGTGAGGTAGATAGACATTTATATGACTTTAGACACTAGCCTGGAATCTTAAGAGCCAATTTTATCCTATTTCGTAGTTGTAATTTTTTTGTCAGTTTTAATAAGTAACTTCTGAAAAGTCCTGAAAATGTAATAATTTCAAAATCGTTAACTTCAGAGTTGGGACGACAAGCGCTTGACATGGAACGCATCGGACTGGGGTTGTGACAATGCTCTGGTGTCTGCTGAACGCCTTTGGCTTCCCGATGTAGCCCTCGTGAGCGCAGCCACAGAAGGAGCTGAAACTGAGGGACAACGTGCCCGAATAGTCTCCAATGGTCGAGTTTCATGGACCTCCAGATTGGACCTCTCTGCGCCTGTGGCCTTAAAACTCGATGCCTGGCCTCGAGATGTGCACACCATCGTGTTCAAGTTTGCTTCCAGAGACCATGATTCAGATCAGATAGATTTGTCCTTGAGGGAAGATGAAGTAAGTGGTTTTTCGTCGTTTTATATCTTTTAACTGGTTAATAAATATTTTGGTGACTTTTTAATGTCAATACTTTCTGTCTGGGAAGACATGATCTGTGACCTCATTCTACTGCAAACATTATTCGCCAATCAAGGGTAGAGATTCTTCACTTTGTTGACCATCATCACCATCCATCTACAGTGACAAATTGTATAAATTTGAAATTTAATTTGGCCGTGTTCGTTATATAATATTGTTACTAATAATGTTCTCCCCATCGATTTCATCCATGGCGACATATTCTTCATAATTAGAAGCTATTATCCACAGATACAAGTATACGCGCAAACACAGTGGCAGAGGCACTCACTATTCCTAAACTACCCTCGCCTAATGCAAGCCAGAGACTCCAGGTGGGCTGACGAGAAGTACCTACGATTGGAAAGCTTATGATCCTATTTTTATATTAAATAAACTATCATTCTAAGCTAATATCCATTCTACTATATGTGAAGTGCGTGTAAAATCTGTATTTTTTATTAAAATTTATTGTTTAGAAAATTAGGACGACTTAAAAAGAAACAATTTAAGCCGTTACCTATAAGTTTTTGAACGAGTGTTATTTTTCAAATTGTTTTTGCGAAAACGTATCGCCAGGAATTTTCTGAACACGCGAATTTACTAATTCATTCGACTACTTCAAAGCGCGTCGATTGCGATGAACCTGGTATAAAATTGCTGCCATCATATTGACCCAATTCTTTAAAGAAAAGCTGATTTTGGATTTAAACTAGTTATCTACGGATTCACGGAATTTCATAGTCAGTACTTTTGTGAGGACTGTGACCGAGATCGCTCATTTTTTTTAAATTTATTTGGGACAACAAACAATAGTACAATATATATTACAAAGAACAGAAGTTTAAATTAGAATTTGAATGGTTAATTGTACAATCAACTACGTTATCCACGTCTTACTTAGTTTTGCTTAGTACAAATAAAATTAAACTTATACAATATATTTATACATAGTAAAAGTAACATACTAATAAAGAAAAAAAAATCATAACATATATTATGTTATTTTAAGTGTAACAGTAGTTGTTTTTTGGCCTTGGATAAAGATGTTGCAAAAATATCTATATCTAAAAACTTATCATTATATACTGACATCAACCGTCGCAGTGGTATGCGTTTGCCGGCATTAGTACGGCAAGCTCTAACGGCGAACACACATCGTCGGCGTACACTGCGTAAGTTATTATGGCGAGGTACTATTAATCCTATCTGGTTTAAAAGCGCTGGGCAATCAAATTTATTATGAAAAATATTAAACAAAAACATAGCCTGCAATAATAAACGTCTCGATCTCATTGTGACTAAATTATATTTAACACGAAGTTTATCATATGAAAGGGTAAAATATTTAAGACGATAATGCATGGTGCGTAAAAACTTGCTTTGAACTCTTTCTATGGCTTCACTATATTTTGCATAGTAGGGGTCCCATATAACACAAGCATATTCTAATTGAGGCTGAATCAAGGACTTAAGCAAATACAAATATGTTGAAGGCTTTTTGAATTTGTTTGATGATCTCATGACAAGACCATAAAGTTTATACGCTTTGCTTATAATTTTTTCTAAATGTAAATCGAAGTGGAGTTTTTGGTCCAAAATTACACCAAGATCTCCGAACAAAAGAGGCTCTATGCAACAGTTTGTCACAGAGGGTATAGTTGAATTTAACCACTTTTTTGTTTTTAGTAAAAGATATTGTTAGACACTTTGGGATACTAAGATAAAGTTTATTTTTTAGACAATACAAACTCAAGTTCTTAAGATCTTGAAAAAGTAAACAATCATTTACATTTTTTATATTTTTATAAACATTCGTTTATGTCATTTATAAAGAGGATGAAGAGCAACGGACCAAGGATAGATCCCTGCGGCACACCAGGTGTTACTGTTATTGTATTGGAACAGTGGCCATTTATAACAACTGTCTGGGTCCTATTTAAAATATATGAAGAAAACCACCTTAATAGATTGCCTCTTATTCCATTAAATGCTATTTTTTTAAGAAGTAGTTCATGGTCAACTTTGTCAAACGCTTTATGGAAATCTGTGTATACAGTATCTATTGAATTCGATTATCGATGTTAAAAAATAGCTCACCAACAAAGAGGGTCAAGTTAGTTATAGATGATCTTTGTTTAACGAAGCCATGTTGCTCTGGTATGATAGTGTTATGAAAAATTTGACGGATTTCATTATGTACTAATCTTTTACAAAGTTTTAATGCAGTACATAAGATTGAAATTGGATGATAATTTTCAATGTTATGCTTTGACCCATTTTTATGTACGGGAACAACATTAGCACGCTTCCAGATATTAGGAAAAGTTCCCTCTCGCATGAATTTATTAAACAAAATACGCAGAGGCACACATATATTATCTTTGGTTCGAGAAAAAAATATTGCGGGAAGGCCATCAGGCCGAGCTCCTTTGGATATGTCTAAAGATTTTATAGCATTTTAACCTTATCAATGTTAAAATTTAGTTCATTTATAAGAACACCATTATCAGCAAAGTTAGTTGGTGGTGTCCACGTATCTAGACATAAAGTTGAAGCTTCGTAAACAGATTGAAAAAAAAGGTGGAGAACATGTTATAAATTACATCAGGATCGCACGAAGACTTGCCTTTAAAAATCATATTTGAAGGAAAACCTGTCCTACCTCTATTATGAGATACAAAAGTCCAAAAATATTTTATATTATGAGGAACAGCATCCTCAAGTGATTCCATATATTTATCATATGCTTTTTTGCACTGGTCACGAAATCTTATCTAAACATAGAAAATGTTTCATAATCTGCTATGTTATTGTATTTTTTCCATTTAGCCCATGCCTTCTTTTTACTTTTAAAGATATGAATTAAAGAAGGTGAAAATCACTTAGTATATTTTGGTGGTCTTGATACGGAGAGTGGTATAAGCTCTTTAACAATTCCATTTATAATTTCGTAAAAAGTATTTGTAGCTTGTTCTAACGAGAGTGGGCAAAGTAACTGTTCCCAACCAATATTCTTCAATCTAGAGTTTATTAATTCATAATTTGCCTTATGATAATTATATTTGCGGTTTGTGCAATGTTTCATAGAGAAAATTTTACTTTCAAGGGGAATAAAAGCGCAAAATGGTGGATGATAATCATCTACAAATATTAAAGTATCTTGAGGTAGTAGCACAGAACACTGCTTATTCGAGATAAACAAGTCTAAAATTTTGTGTTTAGAGTTTTGAAAAGTATTGAATTGTAAAGCATTTAAAAAAGATAGGAGACAATTCATTTGTAAGCAAGTAGATAATGTACCAGTACAAACTAATCCCTGCCCAGTACCACTAGGGATCCAATCAACATCAGGTAAGTTGTAATCACCCAGTACGTAGAAATTATCAAATTGAGAATCTGCATATATGTTTTGAATCGTATTCAGATGCAATTCAAATATTGCCTTATCAAGATTAGGTGGTAAATAAGCGGCACTAATGATATGTTTAGTTTTACTATCAGAGCTGTAGAAAGAAATTAAAACATGTTCTAGATATTTAGAAAAACTTGTTTCATTGGACAATGAGCATAATGTTGGCTTTAGGCTTTGCAGGACAGCTATCAGTACACCCCCACCATCAGATTTATTACTTAAGATGCGGTCACGATCACCACGAAATACAACATAACGTTGGTCTATAAATTCATTATCACATATGTCAGAGGTAAACCAGGTTTCTGTTAATACTATAATATCGTAACAGTTACTAAGAATATTCATATATAACGTGTGTAATTTTGTACTTAAACCTCTGCAGTTTTGATAATAAATACAAATATTGTCCATTGTATCCATCGTATATTACCTTTCTTATGATTACTAAATCGTTAGTTAAGCACTTATTTTTTATTTTAAATTAATATTGTCACAAACAGAGAATGTAATGGATGTTTTATAAGCACTTATTATAATTTACAATTTATCGGTCTAGCCTTAAATTTAAAATATATTATATATTCTATAGAGCCGTGGTAGCTCAGTGGTTAACGCTCGCTGTAAATATAACAGAACGCGAGTAACCCGGGTTCGATCCCCGCCGGCACCAATGAAATTGTTAATTGCAATTTTAAGTGCTGATTTACCACGTGCTCGGCGGTGAAGGAAAACATCGTGTGGAAACCTGCATGTCTGAGGAATAAGAAAAAAAATATTTCGAAGACATGTGAAGTTCGTCAACACGCATTTGGGCAGCGCGGCGGACACTTCCTTGCCCTAAACCCTCTCAGAAATGAGGGGAGGCCTGAGCCCAGCAGTGGGACGTATATAGGCTGTAACTTTACTTTACTTTATATATTCTATAGTATAACTAAATATGTTTTAAAAGTAAAATTTTTCACATAAATGAAACAGAGATATGAGAGAAAATCAAAAACAACACTTTATACCATAAAAAAAAAACAAAAAGTAATTTACAATTTATTAACCTAGCCTTCAGCTTAAAATGTATTATTAATTGTACGGTATTACTAAAAATGTGATTAAAATTATGTTTATTACCTTTAAAAAAACGGGTATATAAGAGAAAAGCAAAAATGACAACTTATATCTATACCGAAAAAAGAAAAAAAAACTAAACCTATAGAATGATAATAATATTTAATATTAACACTTAAATATCTTGAGTCTTATGTTGAAGAACTGGTATGGGATTGGATTTTGTGTAGGTCATTCGAACTACGTATAGCAAACACTGCTGAGTTATCTGATTTTCGAACAAGTATAGTTGCGTGTTTGACCCAGGTGTATTTAAAATTCTTTTGTTTAGCCAAATCTCTGACCTCACGAAACAGCTTTTTGTTTTTTAATGTAAGGTGCTCATTCATATAAACAGTGTAAGAACTTCCCTGTATTCCCAGTTGATTCGACGTTAAACCTGTATGTAGACGAGATGCACTCAAGATGTTATCGCGAAGCGTGCGGGACGTAAGCTTGACGATAATATTCCTAGGCCTCCTATTCTCTTTATGGGCGTGGGGTACACGGTGAACAGATATAATGTCCTTTTGCACTATAGTACAGTTAACTATTTTGCCAATGGTCTCCAATAAGGCAAGAAGATTCTCACCTTTCTTTTCAGGAACATTAGAAATCTCTAAATTACACTGTCTTGCTTGTTGTTCTATACTGTCAATTTTTTCCTCTAGCAACAATATGGCATTATTTTTATTAGTAGCATAGGATACAGTGGTAATTTCATCGAAACGCTTCTTGAGATTAGAATGCTTGGCGTCTGAAAACTGTAAGGACTGTTGCAAGTTTTCAACTTCACTAGTCAATTCCGAAATTTGCGTTTTCAATGTAGAATTCTCTAAACGTAACTGATTTATTTCTTTTCTCATTTCCTTCGTAAAAGAATCGAGATCTGTTCTTATATTATAAATATTTCCGTTAATTTTTTCCAACTTTGAATCCAGATCGCGGCTAAACTCTGAAAGAGCATTTTTTAAACCCGATCTAATACCTTGCATGAGTTCACAATCAGGCTGCTTTCGCTTTCTTTGCGTTGTTGGATTCTGCTCTGATTCACACATTAAATTTGGGCTTGAAGAGTAAGTTGTGGTTGGAGATCGCAACATAATTAATATTCAGTACATTAAATAATTAATATAACATGTAAAAAATAGCCACGCACCGCTTATATACTTAACAGTAAGCAATATTAATCTTCAATTATTCAGGAATAGTTATATATGCTCATAGCAGACGAACTGCTTCACAGCACGTGACGGTATTCGAATCGGGTGCGTGGGAGCTGGAGGGCGTTTCGCGGTCATCTCAGATGTGGTTACGAGAAGGCAGAGAGCGGCAGCTAGCAACCTGGAAGTTAGCGTTGAGGAGGAGGGCACCGGCGCACTCCGTGGCCACTGCCTTCGTATTGGCTGCCTGCGTTCTGCTCTTGTTGGCCGCGCTGCCATTACCACTCAGCGAACGATCTCCACTCTTTGCGTGCACCTCCTTCACTGCTGCGCTATGGTAAGTTTCACTTATATTTTCCCTTAAACCTTTGATGTAGAGCTGCACTATCGTCAAGCTCAGACCAAGAGTGGAAAATTGCGCGCACATACTGAGTTACTTTTTTTACCCCCCTGGAAACAACTAGGGTGCAACAGGTGAACGAAATAGAAGCTTATGGCACACTGATATTTTACTTTTTTTCATTTTACATTAACATAATTATTATGAAATTGATCTATCAATAAATACTACTAATTGGATACGTATAGTTTTATTTCAATAGTTTTTAATTGATTTGTTTATTTAGTTCAAAAAAATTGTTGTTATCTTATAAGTAAGTTTTAATGTTCAAATTAGTAGTATTTATTGATAGAACAATTTCATAATATGTTACTGTAAAATAAAAAATAATTTGCAAAATATCAGTGCCACGGGCTACCATTCCGTTCACTAGTTCAAATCACCCAGTAAAAATTAAAAAAATTAAAGTTACAGACTATATATTACGTCTCACTGCTGGGCACGCCCCTCCCCCCCCTTCATCATTTCCGAGAGGGTTTTATGCCCAATGCGTGTTGCGAACTTCACATGTCTTCGTAATATTTTTTCTTATTACTCAGACATGCAGGTTTCCTCACGATGCTTTCCTTCACCGCCGAGCACGTGGTAAATCAGCACTTAAAATTGCAATTAACAATTTCATTGGTGCCGGCGGGGATCGAACGCGAGTTACTCGCGTTCTGTTATATTTACTATAGTTTATATATTAACTATAGTTTATATTAACTATATATTCGTTTCGTTTTCCCATTGTTCCTGATATATATTAATGAGTATAACAAGAACGATGCAAATTGATTGAGTTACAGATGGGGCCTTCACAACTTTTTCTGCCACTAGAGCCACCTTGGAATGAGGTGATATTTGACAGATTTCATGGCGGGGAAAGTTTGTTGAAAAAGTGTAGTGATTTATGTTTTTTTTTAATATTTCTTATATTTTATATTAATTAGATTAGAAGCGGATAAATAAAACTACGGATAGTCTTAAAAGTAGAAGGATTAAAAAAAATGAAAATGTTTAAAAAGTTATAAAGGACACAGAACTGAGGTATCGTTTTGTGTATACAATGTATACATACTCGTATACTAAAAACAGTAAAACTTTTATTTGAAATAAAACTTTTTAGTCAAAATGATACTCTGTGACCATATCCGTGATAGATAAAATCACTTTAGTGCTAACAAGTGAGATCTGGTGAACGTAAGATTTCTTTTTATAGAATAAGTGTGACAAACGAGCACGTAGTCCACCTGAAGGTAAGTGGATACTGTGGCCCATACATATCTTTCGATTTACATTTATCCTCGATTAAGAATCAAAATATATGCAAAAAAATACAGATGCCTTGTCAACCTTGAGGACTAAGATGAAATGTATTGTTTTCAGCAAAAACGGTATTCGATTCTTTACACTTACTACTTATACGAAACATGGCAGCAATAAGCTGCTATTTTACGTTGGTATTCTGTGAGTGTGTAGTTCTATCTCGGTAGAGCCGACTAATTCGTGCTACAAGCATAATATAGCAGCAGCGTGACTTTACCACTTAGCCCATATGAATGTGATTACCGTGCAAACCGCGTGCAGGCTGATGTCGGCGCTGACGCGGGTTCCCGGCGGCGCGACCACCCCGCGCGCGGTGTCGGCGCTGGGCGCGCTGTGCGCGTGCGGCGGCGCGGCGGCGCTCTGCGCGGCGCTCCTCCGCCGCATGACCGCCGCGCGCGCGCCGCCCCCGCCCCGCCGCTTGCGCGCCTGCCTCTCCGCGGCCGCGCAGCTCTGTGACCTTACGCCACAGGTCAGTGCAGCTCCGCGACCTCACAGACCCTCTGCTCATGAAGGATTTGCCAATATCTGCCTTGATAAACCAGGCGGTTTTATAAGCCCAAAGGAAATTGAAACCTTTCACACTGGCAGCACCATTATCTTTTTAGAGTGAGCGCGCACTGCGGCTGAACCGCCGCAAGTTTTGCCATTCATATCTCAGCTTTCGTGACAGAAGGTCAAACAGCATGGACTACGAAACCAGACTCCGTTTTTGCATTTATATAATATTAACGGCAAGAAAGCAGAAACGCGAACAGTATTGGGTTAATCCATTAACAGCAACGAGACATATGAAGGGTTTTTTCTATACGAAATATAGTGATTTGTGAAATTTTCCAAAAAAGTTTTTTGATTACTACAGAATGACCATAAAGACCTTTGACAATTCAAAAAGAATTGTTGGTAACGAAATCTACTACAAGGATACGAGTTGGAGAAAAGCGATATCAGTGTAAGAAAGGCTCCAGTATTTCTGCCGCAGTGCGCGGAGTTTCACACAAGTTCATAGGATGCAAGAAAACCGTGCGGCGCCGCACCGCAATAAATCTGTGGCAAATCACAAATATTTTAGCCGCATCCGGTTGAACAACCGCAATGCGCGCTCCTGCATTGTGGTTAAGCACAGATTACACAGTTATACAACACAGATTTCTGCGGGAGCAAACTGCACCAACTGTTGCCGCAGTGCGCGCAGGCCTTTATTTGATACACCATACAGTATCTTTATAACAATAATCACGTAACGCGAAGTAAATAATTTAGAATCAAGAAGTAGGTTCGTATTAGTAATAACGGGTGACTAACAATGCGTACACCCTGCTTATTTCAATATTTGCAGGGCACATCGAGCGCCGAGTGCAGTGCGTGGGCAGCGGCGGCCCAACTGTTGGACTACGTGCTACAGGCGGCACTTGTACTTACTGTTTTCGTTATAATCTGCGTCTACGTGTAGCTACTTCTCATCAAAGTATCTAGCAGTAGCAACCTCGGGCTTTTGTGGGTCAGGGTTGACAATTTTTCGATATTCAAACTATGTAACATTTTACTCTTTCTTATAATTGTTTTCGTTAGAAATAAAAAATACAAAGAATAAAATTTCCATTAAACACATGACTTATGTAAATATATATACTAGGTAGGTATGTATCACGGAAAATTTTTGAAATCTGATTCGGATGTAAGATTACATGGGAACAGTCGCGCCACCTTGGACCCGCGGCTCAACCAAAACAGTCTATAAAAATAGAAATTATTTTGTGCACATACTATAAATATAGCATTTTAATTATATTTCTTCATATAAATATAATACGTAGGTGTTTATACCACATTTCCTTGCCATGTGCAATATTTATTTTTAATGATGCGCATCTTTCGAAATTTGTTAGTAACCTTTTCGTGGAATCAGCTCAACTTTAACGTTTCGAATTGTTTTATCAATTAATCATAATTAATATTTTATATAGGTACTTGTAGTATTATAGTGTAGGCAGCGTAAGTTTTAAATGATTTAAATAAACAATTAAGCAGCTAATTTTATCTTATTATTATTATATAGTATTTTTATTTTCATGTCTAATCGAACTAATATTATTTATGTTTCGAATCAATTTATTATTTATTATGTTAAAACAATATCAGGTTATTAGATTTTATTCTGATAAAATGTTCAACAACTACTTGTTAAAATACCTATTTTATACATACTATAATAAATCTAAATCTAAAATTTCTGTGATCTTATCCTATGGGTCAACAAGTTAAAAGTCAATTATGGGAACGATTGCTATAGATGGCGGTATATTGTTCTTGAAAGTTTAGTTTTAAAATAATTATATAAGGTCGGGGTAAAATTTTCATCGTATTTTGGTTGTATAAAATTGAAGAAAAATCTCATTGGTTGTACTGCTTGTATCTGACTGGTTTTAATATCAATACATGTAGGACATTAAGAAAAATAAGAATAAAAAGCAAAAAAAAAAATAGTTTCCCGCCATTTTTCAGTTGTTTTTCTGTCTGCTAAAATGAGTAAATCTAACTAGAAATTCGATACATTCTGAAGTTTTATTACAAAAAAGAGAAAAATGCAACTCAAGCCGCGAAAATCATTTGTGATGTTTATTGACCTAATGCAGTGTCAGTAAGTTACAAACTTGGTTCAAGCGTTTTCGGTCCGGGAATTATGATGTCAAAGATACAACACGCTCTGGTCGCCCTTTGATGGTTTATCTGGATGAAATCATTAAAATAACCGAAGAACTCGGAAATATGCAGGAACGTATTTTATATAACGAAACAGGAAATATAATAGTCTATGACTGGCTCTCCAAACTACGACCCGCGGGCATCATCCGGCCTGCCAGTGCCATCGATCGGGCCCGCAACAGCCAGTGTCTTATTGTGGTTAATATTGCTGTGATAAGTTGAAGAAGAAAACGGAATAACTACTCGGTTTTATTCACTCGCAAGGTAAAACTTGACGACTGAAATGATAAAAAAAAACTCAGAAAACTTGACAAATAATTAAAATGAATCGTACTAATCACAGTACAACAAAAAACACAAATGAGATTAATGTAATTGTGATTTTCCACCGACAATAGTTTGTAGTTGTGGATCAATTTTACTTGTACCAATTATTAAAAGAGATTTAAGATGCTCATCGGTTAATTTGGAAAATTAGTTTCCTCACACAAGTAAGTAACTACAACAACAGAAAACGAACCCACGAGCTTATGTAACTTGTCACATTGTAACAGTGGAAGACATAAAACTCCAGCAATAATGAATTTTGATATTTGTTCTTGATCATATCACTGCACTGTAAATCAACAATTTCCGTTTGGACTTCCGGAGGCAGGGTTTCAATGTCAGAATCATAAGGATTTTGAAAAGGCTTAGTTCAGTATCAAATTTTATCTTTACTCTTTACTCAAAGTTTCGATTGCAAAATCGACGCGAAATTCAGTCTCTGTAGTGTGGCTGAATATTTCATACGTTTTAAAATGTGTATGTAAATTTTTTTACGTAATTGCGATTGAAATAGTACTATAATTTTTTTAATAATTTTCGACGAAAGTATATTAAATAAAATCGTAAGAGTAATGTTAAATGAAACAAAATATTGGCTAACTAAAAATTATTTATTGAAGCGCTCCTTTTTATAAACAATGAATTAAAAGTGGAACTCTTTAAATATAATAATCGAATTAAACTAATTTTACGAATTTTATCGCGTTTAATTTTAATTTTTACGCGGAAAACTATGGGTGCCGTAAAGCACCCGAAAAGTCAGCAATTAAAAATAAGTTAAATTAAATACGATAAAATGCATAAAGCTAGTTATATTCAAGGTCAAGTACTCGTGTAAAGTAAATCATTATTCATTACACAATTCTTCGTGCATACTGAGTTGTTATACGGAATGTTATAAGTTTACTAAGTTAAGCATTGGTGAACTAAAAGATGTGGTGTAGGGAGCCCACTCAACTTTAAATCTTGGGTGTCGTGAGAGGTGATTATGGGAAATGCTAGAAACTCTTGTAAGTTCCGATAGATGGCGGTGAAACCATTTCGTTTACGCATGACGAAAAATATCTAGAGCCCGTGTCAAAGCTGTGGGACGTCTCACAATAATCCGGTTTAATGTTATGCCACTTAGCAAGCAATGATTAATGCGAGTCCTGTCCGATTTTTCCGACCGATACTTACCACCACTACAACCCTTCTAAGAGACTATAAAGACAGATGTATAACACAAAGAAATGTGTTCCTCATAGACACAGTTGTATGAATAAAAAGACTTCTGGTACTCTTGAGTATAATTACTGGACGAATTTAACAAATTATCAGATTTTAATAGGACACTCGCGTTGAATGATTACGCGGTATAGCGGAACGAGTTTCTCGATTTAAAGTGCAGTACTGTCAGCGTTCGCCTATAAATGGCATAGCCGTCCAAAATAATAATTGTAGTCGCAGATATAATGCAATAAGCAAAGTAATGAACTGGTGGCGCATCACTGTGTAGGCTGCAGCAGTGCATGTAGGTAGCGCTGGCAGCAAAAGCACCTTGCACGCTAAATGGCAGCGTGTAGCGTGCTGCAGCGCCTCAAGCGGCTGCAGCAGCGCGTGCAGTGCTGGCAGTAGGTACACTAGGCACGTTCAGTGTCAGTAGCGGCGCTTCGTCATCGTCATTCATGTCGATCATGAATGGTCGTCATCATTTTCATCTAGAAACCCCTCAAGCGGCTGCAGTAGCAGGTGCAGTGCTGCGACATAGACACCGCGCACGCTCAGTGGCGGCGCATGGCGTGCAGCAGCGCTTCAAACGGCAGCAGCAGCGCGGCGAGCGTGAAGCCGATCAGTAGCGCCTGCAGGGCTGGCAGCACGTCGTGCAGCCCCACGCTGGCAAAGCCCGCGCCTCCTCCAGCACAGCGCGGAGCCGCGGCCAGCCACGTGCACCGCGCACGTGCTGTCATACCCGTCTCACGCTGCCACCGCAACCTAATTATATAGCAATCGTGAACAATATCTTCGACACGGTCGGAAAATTCAGACACTATATATGGTAGACCCATGCTGCAGCTACATTATGGTTGCAGCACAAATGGGTCGGCTCGACCGGGGAAGGACCACGCTCTCACAGAATACCAGCGTAAAATAGCAGCTCAATACTGCTGTGTTTCGTATGGTGAGTGTGTAGAAAACCGGAGACCCTTTTTACTAAAACTTCCATTCTTTAGTTCTCAGAGGTGATAACGCATTTGATTCTTAATTACGGGAATAGATGTAGATGTGTATGAGCCACAGCATCCACTTACCATCAGTTGAACTGTGTGCTCGTTTGTTAAATATCTGATATGATAGGTATATAATGATTTCTTATATTTACGCGAACACTACACATTGAAATAATACTAGTTTTTACGGAATTTATCGCGTATATTTAACTTTTTAAATACCCGACGTTTCGAACGCTTTACAGCACTCATGGTCACGGGCGGGACTGAGATGTTTAAAGTCCATATGTCATAGTTAACCGCGGTTACCATAGATTAAAATTTATCGGAACAAAAGTTAAATTTTAATCTATGGTAACCGCGGTTAACTATGACATATGGACGTTTAACATCGCAGTCCTGTCCGTGACCATGAGTGCTGTAAAGCGTTCGAAACGTCGGGTATTTAAAAAGTTAAATATACGCGATAAATTCCGTAAAAACTAGTATTATTTCAATGATAGGTATAGAATAATATATTAATATAAGAAAATTTATAAAATAATATAATCTTAATGATCCTGAAAACATCTACCTCTTTAGCTACCGAGCAGAGATCTCTCAGTAGTACACTGCTGAATAAACCTTCCTTATGGGTAGAGAAGATTTGTCATTTAAATGCTTCACCAGCGGAATGGCACAATATCAGACATCTTATAGTATGGCTACTCCCTACCACCAGTTTAGGTATTTTACACCCACCACACGCAATGCGTGTAACATCACCTGTACACACATATTTTACTTTCACGATGCTAACAGGACGAAAAGGGTTATTTGTTTGAAACTGTTTGTGTGAAAATCTAGTACACAAGCCAGCAGTGGTGTCTCACACACTCACGCAATGCCAATCTGTCATCGGTGGCGAGTAAACGTTCCCTTTGAGCTCTATATCGACTAACTTGTAGTTGGTTGTTTTACTAAATCTCTGATCTTAATACACCACAGATTCCAAATGTCCATGGTCTTCAGTCCCAACGTACAATAAATAAGTTTCTGTAATAAAAGTGTATTATTAGAAAGAAAAGCATGATCTTTACCGAGAAGCCAACAAGTCTCTATATCCCGAGTGACGACGTATCGGCACGGCCACCATGGGCAACTTAAACGCCTGGATCTCCTTCAGACCGCACTTCTCGTGCTCCGTAAAGGTCTTGCTGATAATATCGTAGCCTGAGCCCTGCTCCACCTGTAATTATGACACTAACGTCTTCCTTTTTTGACATAACTTTTTATTTTTTTATACCGACTTATCAGATCACTTTTAGGTAAGTGGCTACTGGAGCCTATGAAAACCAAAAATTAACTTCAAACTAAGAATGCTACTATTTTTTAAAAATCAAATGCAAAGCTCAAATTTATTAAACGCGGTGTTGCAAAAACCTAACAAGGTTTATCTGTACACCATGCTTCATCGAGACGACATTTGGTACTTTACCTCCTTACAGACAATGTCTATTAAGTTATATCTGTAGCCAATGCATCCGCAGCACCCCTAAGGCCTAAGAACTGAGAGGAAATGCCTTACAGCTTGTAGCACCGGCTCTCTGTAACCTCCCAATCGAATCACAGTAGGGTGATTACCGATGATTGTTGACACAAGTATGTAAGAGGGTAGTATTGTAGAGGAAAAATGATAGAGTATTTTATAATAAGTCACACTGCTTGTCACAGTCCTCTTCTCATACATATACATACATACATAAACACTCATGCCCGTCACCCAGAGGGGTAGGCAGAGACTACAGACTTCCATTTCCTTTCCATCCTGACAGACCTCTCTCGCGTCCTTCACATCCATATACCCACGCAAACATGCTCGTCGGTTAAAGGTACTCCTAATTTGCTCATTTTCAATAAATCGCTAATTTGGTCGATAAATTTTCGCCTAGGACGTCCCCTTCCGACTCTGCCATTCACTTCCGCAACATGAATTTTCTTTGTTACTCTTTCCTCACTCATTTTTTCCACTTGACCAAACCACCGAAGCATTCCTTTCTTAATCCTGGTCACAACATCATCTTGCAAACGACACTTTTCTTTTATCACACAATTTCTCACCCTGTCACTCAGATTTAGGCCTAACAAACTCCTTGACCGCATTTCTACTGCGTTTATTCTACTCTCATGCTTCCTCTGCCACACCCAACTTTTACTACCATACGTTAAAGTAGGGACTAATACAGCATTGTGAATTGCCATACATGCCTTTTTTGACACATTCTGACTCCTCACAATAGAGTGTAGGGCCCTATTTACTCTATTTCCTGCGTTCACTCGTCGTTCAATATCCTTATCATATCTCCCATTCCTGCTAAATACGTAACCCAAATATACAAACTCATCTACTTGCTGGATCAACTCCTCTTCTCATATAATAAAAAGAGGGTTTTGTAGGGCAGCAAGACTCCGCCGCGCTGCTCTAAGCTCGACATTGTTTGGATACAAACTATTAAATTACTTTGTCATTAAATTAATTGAAGATCTTTTTTATACTTAAAGCTAGCAAAGCATCAAAGTCCATGGAAGTCTGCAAGCAACTGTACACAAGCGCAGTGAGAAGTGCGTTTTTTAACAATTCAGACTCCAACACAACACTGTATGTAATGCTACTTAGCAACGAAAAGGGGGAAAAAGAGAGAGCTCCTAGATAGAAAGGGAGCTCAATCACCTAAGTCTTCATTTCTTCTTCATCAACCAATAAAAGTGAATATTTGCCTCAGCCCTTGCAAGGAGTACAACGGGACCAGGTTCACACCTTGACGCTGATTTACTTTGAGTCTTGAGTATTTTACGGCTTACGTAAACGAAATGGTTATACCGTCATTTGTAGAAAACCATAAGATCCTTTTTATAATTCCCATACCCGCTCGACGACAACAACGGTACGAATTCTGTCGATGACAAAAACTTATACATATATAATATATATACACACACACACACATATATATATATATATATATATATACATATATAGAGAGAGATAGAGAAGTTAGCGAGGGTACCTGAAAGGCGAAGAGTCCGGTGCGCAAGCGCTCGACGCCGGCGGCCGCGCTGAGGTACGCGCGCTCGCCCAGCGGCCGCAGCTTGCGTCGGTACAGCCGCCGCGTCGCCGCCGAGCGGCTCTCCTGCGATACCCGCGCTTATATAGATAAATATAGCATGAGGCGACAGACGAGCACGCAGTCCAACTGATGCTAAGTACACATCCATACACATATACATCTATCCTCGTTTAAAAATTAAAATGCAGATGTGTTGTCACCTCTGACGACTAAGATAGAATGCCTCGTGTCCAGTAAACAAAATCTCCGGTTTACTACACTCACCATACGAAACAAAGTATCATTGAGCTGCTATTTTACGCAGGTATTCTGTGAGAGTGTGGTCCTACCCTAGTCGAGTGAACCCATTCTTGCTATAACCATAATATAGCTGCAGCGCGGCTCTTCCTCGTATATTTCCGTTACCCTGGAACAGTTTTTTTACATTGGAAAATGACACTACACATTATTTCGAATTCGCAACAACCAAAACCCCGTGGTGTTCCACCTTCGCCGCATATTGGTTGGGTCACGGAAACGATTCCACACACATCCACAGCTCCACCAACGCCTACCGCCCTATGGTAGCCCTTTCCTCGAGAGAGGACAACTTCTCAATTACTCCTTCTTAGGAAAGCCGTAACAGAACACAAGGCGTGCCTTCCTCCGCAGCCTCTAATTCTACCTGCGCAACGGACCCACCATGGAGCAGCACATGGCTTTGCATTGGTGTGAAGGGGGTGAATAGAATTTAATAAAATGATTATTATTTTATATAAATTATAAATAATATATACTTATTAAAAGTTTTACACGTGGTAGAGCCACACTGCAACTGTATTATTTATTTATTTATTTATTTATTTATTTTCAATCACAACTTACAACTATCATTACAGGTTACTACCTAATTCGATAGTGAAGCACACATCAGTAAACATATATATACTTATAACAAATACCTACTTATAACAAATAACATATAATGCTATCCTTGTGAACTCATTCGGCGTACAAATAAAAATATCTGTCTCCTCTGCTACAAGGTTGAGAGTGCGAAGTGCCCGTGTCAGCGGCGCCTCGTTCAATAAATTAGTGCGACCACGAGGTACGGCCATTATGTCTTCAGTACGGATGAGTCGACTCAACCGGGGAAAAACCACTGTCTCTCTGATGTCTATGGACCTCAGCTTGTCATCCCTGTTCTATAAAAACCTTACCTTAATCCTAGAGTATTTTATCAACAGCGTATTCATTAATATATTATAACCCTTTTTATAGTTTTTGTTCAACAAAAATTAAAACTTCGTAATAGACAAGGCTTGTATATTTCCTAGGATTTTGTCGTAAAAGGGTCGTTGGCCGTACTAGACTTGTCGATATATTGGCAAATAAGGGGTTTTAGCTCTGCCATAGATTCAATCCTCTGACGTGATTTATCCGGTAAAATAATAGCTATTTTACCTTTGAGCGACCAGCAGTTCTTAATCCTGAAATATGTGTTTGCTCGTAAGCTTTCATAAATACTTTGTGTCTTGTCTTAGTCAGAAACTCAGATATTGTGATGCCTGAACCTTTTAGTGAAGTTTTATTATCCCAGACAAGACGACGACTCTGCAGACTTCTGAATTTAAAAGCACTGGATGTGTTAAGGCTTGAGAAGATCCTAGACGATAGCATACTTGTATATCCTCGACTTTCAAATCGGTCGCTTTCATTTGGTCGGAAAACAACTTATTTATAGACTCATGCAAATTCTCTTCTTTTTCTTCTCATCGCTGTTTCGTGTTTGCCAATATTGTATTTAACGAAGTTCAACTGTTTTCTGATCAGCGATAGCGATTGACAAAGTGAAGAAATGTCTGAGTGAACTGGTGCATGCGAGAAGAAAATATTTTTTGCAGTTCGTCAAGATTATTTACATGTTGTGTAAAACTGTGGTTTAGCAATAGAAAGACAGAAAGTGTTAAGAACAACACGTGTTGATAGACTTTAGCAGTGTTTTAGCACATTTGTTTAGAAAGAACGAATATTTTAAATAATTTAATAATAATAAAACCAATCAGCACACTGAGTTTGCACGTTTACATTACGCCTACCCGCAAAGAAAAAAAATATTGCCCCATATCAAGAAATTACAAGGTGAAGTCGAACAAAATTTTTTTCCATTTTAAATGCCGCGTCATAGTCCAGTAGACTGGCGATGGTAACATAGGCGTACATTATGAAACAACTTACAGCAAAATAAACTTTCTTGTACGTTGTCTCCTGAACACCGAGGGTCATAGGAGAGTTTGTGAGATCGTCGATGGTCTGCAGCGCATTGCTGGGTGACTGTAGGATAGCTACCACCTTCGCAGAGTACGATGTGAACGCGAACAGGGAGGCCAGCAACGTAAAAAACATTACCAGTCGCAGAGACCACAGACGTGGTGAGAGGTCGGAACCTGTAAGCAATTTATCCTTAAACTTAGTAAGCAATCGTGTAAATGACCACTGCAGTCCGTACCTACAGCTCACTTCAGAGAAGATATGATGGAAGGCCTTGGTAACGATAAAAAGTCTTTCCGTTTATCGTCTTTCACTATTCGAAACACTAGAGAATTATGTTGCTATTTGACGTGGAATTTTAAGCGAGATTGTTTATTTTTCGGTTTACCTTACCCATTTGTGCTGTAACTGTAGCTGCGTTAAGTTAAAACCATACTTAAGTTGACACGTTTAAAGCACGGTAGAGCCACTGTGTCATTTAGTCTTTAGGAGTGATGTGAGGCCTTCTCTATCCGAATTTGTCTCAGGTGTAATGGGCCGCAGTACCTAAGTACCATCAGAAGGTTAGTTGGTTGGTCAGTCACTTTAAAACTAAAAAAATGGGTCGGCGTAAAAAGAGGGGATAGTAACAATTTACTGGCTGCACTTTGGTACTTGCTGCTAGCTTTGGCTCGAATGTAGACGGAATTTAGAACCCTATAAAATAAGTGGATACAATAAATTAAACCTGAACCGTACCTGAAACGTCGGGAATTAAAATTAAAATTAAGCGTGATAAAATCCGTAAAATTAGTTTTATTCTATGAGTAGTGTTTGCGGAAACATAAGAAATATCATTTGTTCTAAAAAAATAACACAGAAAAAACAATGACTTCAGTCAGTCAGTTTCTCTACAAAGGTATGCCTTTCAAAGCTACCCACTTCCTGCCCTTTCGACGTTTTATACATGGTTGCATATTATCTCTTTAACACGTGCTCGGCGATGAAGTACAACATCTCGAGGAATACTGATTGTCTAAGAAATAAAAATAATTCTCAAACATTCAGTTTATCAACAGGTACTAATGTCGAATTAGTTTTTCAATCTTATAAAATATGTGTCGTAATGCGGAAATTACTCCACTGACGCATTAGCGTAATATTGTGTAGTTTTGCGAACAAAACACTAACTAAGTTGTACGGTCTATAACCTTTGCCTGTTTGAGCTTTATACCCCGCATTCACACGGAACCGATAACAAGGCTGTATGGTCTACGACCTTTGCCTGCCTGAACTGGCGAATGTTAAGAACAAAGCAGATTTGTATACCCTGCTGGCACATGGAGCCGATGACGAAGGTGAGGCAGTCGAGCGTGGCGAGGTGGCTGGCGGCGGGATCCGGCAGACGCGCGGCGCGCGCGGCGGCCGCCAGCAGCGCCAGCAGCGCGCCCGCGCCCGCGAACACGGCCGCCGCCGCCGCCCACACGCCGCGGCTGAACGGCAGCACGAAAACGTTCGCTACCGCCGACTGCGCCGGCTGCCGGAACAGGAACGCACCCCTGCGCATACCCTCATCTTTATGCTAAGTTTACACGTTTACCATTAGCAAGCTTCCACATTCCCCAAGACTATAAATCCAGGCTCGCATTTGGAAGAACTACAATGAACAGACAAGTATGGCGGACAACGAACTTGTTCAGCTATTGCCTTTAGTACCTTTATACTAAATTCCGAGACTACTAAGAACAGAGACTAGGCAAGCGACCACAAGATCCAAGCCTATACAAATGCTAAGCTTGCACTTGGTAGTCATTTACATGCTTGTAAATATGTCAGTGTGCTCCGAACAGACAAACATGGCGGACACCGAACTTGTTTCAGTTATTGCGTATAGTTCCTTTAAATGTTTGCGAAAAGTCTTTAATAATATTTCTTTTTTAGCTTTTAATTCTTTTATTGGATTTTACATTAATTCTGCAAGACGACTCCAGGCATATGTCGCTTTCTTTTTATCTTAATCATCAGGTCAGATCACAAGCGATAACATCACGATCACTAAACGCGCACTAATGAGTCCCAAACGCATATCACAAACCCCCTTTGAAAGGTGTTCAAAAACCGACCCTGGATCAGAACGCCAACTAGCTTCTCCAAGTTCACGCAAAAAGCCAAACACCCCCGTTTACAGGCTTGTACTTGTGAACCCACACAGACACTTGGCAAGCGTGTAAGCCCGACATTACAGTTATTCAATACTATTATAGTTGCGGGCGACCGCAGCTGTTACCGGCTCACTTTGTAGCGTCTACATGTGTGACTGAATATATTCTAAAAACGAATAGCATTTATAAAAATGGACGTCAAATAAATAACATTTTTTTTTAATTATTATCATAGAGAAAACGAATATCTTAGTCATTAGAGGTGCCATCGCATTTGCTTTTTGATTCTTAATCGAGGATAAATGTAGATGTCTATGGGCCACAGCATCCACTTACCATCTGGTGGACAGTGTTCTCGTTTGACACGCTTATTCTATAAAAAAACCTACATGGATAAAACTTTATTTTATATTTTTCAATGTAATTGATAGACTCAGGCGTTGTTTTGCCGAAATCCATTATAATAAAGATATTAATAGTTACTATGGATATAATTTGGATGGTAGCAAAGTAACCATTAATATCTTTACTTTTCAATGTGTTGATTTTCTCTAAACATTGTTGGCAACCTAAGCTCTACAGTTTCGGAGCAGAAGTGGAGCACACGCCAGCGGTCGCTGCGCATGAACATGGAGGTGACGCCCACCTCCAGCTGCCCGCGCTGCAGCAGACCCGCCAGTCCGTCGAACGACCCGTTGTGCTCCTCGCCGTACAGATCAACCTGCTTCAGATTGTACCTGCACAGTTGACATCAACGTTGTAGTTGTCATCAAGTAAACTGAAATAATAGTACAACCTTTACACGACCCACAGCTGAGCAAAGACCTTCGATCATTTCTGGCTAAATGTTAAACGGACCTAAAATCCTCCCTAAAGAACACCTCCGAAGAAGATTAGTCAGCTTTTACTCAACAAGCTGCAGGAGTGTACAAGCTTGATTGTGAATGTGGTGTCTCTTACTTAGCACAAACAAAAAGATCTATAAAAACCCGAAAGAATATTTTTTTATAGAGTAAAGGTGACAAACGAGCACATTGCCCTCCTGATGGTAAGTGGGTGCTGTGGTCCATAGACATCTACATCTATCTTCAGTTAAGAATCAAAGTGTAAATCCGTTGTAATACCTCGTTGCTCCCGCCCATTGAGTAAGACGTTCAACTCAAAACCTTGCCCCCTTCTCAAAAGAAAGGTTGACGACTAAGATTACGTGTCCTTAAAAATGATCCCGGTCTTGACGTCAGTAATGTACCCAATGGACTGTATTTTCCCTTACTTCTCTACAATTACGGGGAGCACTGACGGATTCTTCAAATAAAACATCAATTATTCGTAAATTCCCCTCGGAAATGCAATATTGAAACTTTCACTGCTTTTATAACTTTCACTTTACTTTTCCTAATTTCTTTTTCTTTGTTGCTTTATACCTGGAAACTGTAGTTGGTCCCGAACTCGTATTGTCATCTACTATGGGACTACTGTTCTTTATTCCAAGCAGGTTTCGGGCCTCGGGGGATTCCCCATTACCCGGGTAATCCTCACAGCCCATATCTATGGGCCGGTCTTGGGAGCCGTACATGTACGACATTGTAGGTAATCTTCATTGGCGTATTGCGCGCCACCAGGTCGGTGCAATCGCAGGGTCGGCCGTCTCAAAGCCCTGCGGAGTCCCGAGGTAAGGAGTCGACGCAGGGCCAATCTTGCCGACAGGAGTGCGCTGAGGACAGCAGCTGCTCCGGGCCTCCTTCCTGGCTCTAGATGATGGCCTGGTATCCCTAGGCAGAAGTTGACGTATCTCGCACCTCTGGGAAGGGATCTGCAGAAGGGTCAGCAACCTCCAGGTCCCACGGAGGCGCATCGCGCAGACGCGGTGCCGAAGTCACCAACAGGCGCGCGCTCCCAGCAGCGCGCCGGGCCTTCGGTGTTCGCTTCCCAGCGTATAGGTGAAACGCAGCGTTAGGTACTCAACATCCCGGGTGGGGTCAGGGGCGTCCTCAAGGCTCCTCGCAAGCCGAGTTGGTCCCACAGCACGTGCACCCATTGCGAAGCGACGCGCTGTAATTCTCCCACCCGGGCGGGAGTCGACGACCGGCGGACAAGACCGCTTGCTACCTTGGTCCGGACGAGACTCAGATAGATGATAGATGGTCCCGAACGTTGATTGTTGTCTACATGCACCAATGTGCCATGCAGGTATCGGACCTCGGGGTATACCCCATTGCCCGGATAGTCATCATGGCCCATAACTATGGGCCAGTCTTTGGGGCCTATTCTAGGCGTGGATGGTAGTACGGATTAGTCCGTAACCGGATAAGATTTTTCCCGTAGTTAACCAACTACGGGAAAAAGGAGGTTATCTAGTAAATAAGTCTGGGTTGGCCTTTCAGCGGCATTGTGGGTTGTTACTCGACTCTCTAATCGATATAGAGAGGAGTTCTCTTGGAAGAGGTCCCGAACGAATTGCAAATTGAGCGACTTACTAACCCTATACTGTGAGGAGGACCGTGCGCAAAACGCCATTTCGATTCAAGCTATTTTTATTGCCCATAACAATTTAAAATAATTATATTTCACACAAAGAACAATAAAGATGTATTACGAAAATAATCAAAACATTTACGAACAAACAAAATATCACAAATTTACAAACAATTTCTTAGAGTTATAAATCTTAAATGTCGTATATAAACTTTAATAATACGATTATCAGCGCCAATTTCACGTCATTTTAAATTCGCAACAAAATGCGAATTGGATGCTTCAATTCATAACTTCAAGCCAAATTAAAAAAGTAAAAAGGACGAATTGTACTGCATACGTTGTAGATTAATATGAATTTCGTATTTTGAAATAATTGAACTAATTTCGATAAAAATTTAACTAAACGGTAACATACCATTTTTAGGATTTTGTCTAATTTTATGAATTTTTAAAATAGAAACTAAAGATATTTATTTATTTTTGCTTCGGAATAAAGGTAAATTCATTCTTAGTGATGTTTAATAAATAATTTTTATATTAATTATTGTAACCATAAAGGATAATTTCACTTAACAGTGACTATCGTTTTGAAGTATTTTGCTCGATGGGCTCTTAAACAATACAACATTAAATTGTTGTATTGTTGTTCATGAAACAAAACTTTTAATTACATGCAAACAAAATGATTTTAATTTTCTTATACAATTCTGTTATTATTTACGTAACTAAGGCAAAGAGCCGAGAGAAAGAGAGTGGAGTCACGCTGCAAATATATCACGTTAGCACGAATGGGTCGGCTCAACCGAAGAATTACCACGCTTCACAAAATACCAGCGTAAAACAGCAGCTACATACCACGTGAGTGTAAAGCACCGGAGACTCTTTTTACTGGAAATGAGGTATCCATCTTAGTCCTCCGAGGTAACAACGCGGCTGCATTTTGATTCTTAATTAGAGATAAATCTAGATAGATGTCTATGGGCCACAGCTTTCACCTACCATCAGGTGGACTTTGTGCTCGTTTGTCACTTGTATCCTGTAAAAAAATGTAACGGGAAGTAAATACGTACCGAAAGTGTAGGTCCTCGGCGGCGAGCATGAGGAGTGGGTAAGTGAGCTTAGGGAAGGTGTCGATGGCGCGATTGTTCAGGTCCGACCAGCCCTTGAAGTGCTGCGGCTGACTAATCTGGTTTGATTGCATTATATCAAAACTAATTCCGTCATAACCTATTAAAAGTCTACTTCTGAACATAGGCTTCCCCAATAGATTGGTTCATAGGTGGAATTGAAATAGGTGGATTCATAGCTGTCACGCTTGGCAAGTGGATTGGCAACCGCAATTTTTTTATTTTTACCTAATATTAGGAATTTTATATGTGGTAGAGCCATGCTGCAGTTATATTAGTAGTATAGTTGTAGCACGAATGGGTCGGCTCAACCGGGGATGGAACACGATCTCACATAATATCAGTGTAAAATGGTAGCTTAATGCTGCTGTGTTTCGTATGATGAGTGTAGAAAACCGGAGACCCTTTTTACTGGAAACGAGGCGTTCCATCTTAGTCCTCAAGGGTGATAACGCATCTGCATTTTGATTTGTAATCGAGGACGAATGTAGATGTCTATGGGCCGCAGCAACCAGATACCATCAGGTGGACTGTGTGCTCGTTTGTCACCTTATCCTATAAAAAAAAGGAAGCTGCCCATCTCTCGGTTATTTCCCTCTGTCACGTCTTACGACACCCGCGGGATGATAAGGTTAGTGGATATTCTTACACCGCCACAACGTGGTCACTCTATTTAATACTTTCTTTTTTAAATGTACGTATGTAACCGATTGAACAATTTTTACCAATAGATTATAATATTACTCAGACCCAATAATTTATGAATTGAAGTCGTTATATATTTTCTAAATAATCCAATACGCCATATGCAACTGTGCCTCGATCGAAATTGGCTTTGAATTTATATCAACATAATATCATTGTCTACAAAATGTGCCGGACGAAAAAGTTCACTAACCATGCGTAACACACACACAAGCACGCACGCGCGCGCACGCACGCACTCGCACACACATACACACAAGGAATGAGGAGGAGTGGGAGATATCTTTTCCACTACTCACTATTGTGGCGGCTTTTAAATAGACATTGTGCAGATCCTTCCGCCTCGCTACCGCAGTCGGCATACGTCTCCAAGTCGCGTCCAGTTCCACTCGAGTCATTTTCCTGTAAATTGCAAGCTCAGAGACAAGGAGAGGCTGTCCTTGCTTCACTCTGTACACATCCACTGATAAATCTGATGATGTCCATACCGTATCCGCGTCTGGGAGGATGTCATAATCCCCCAAAACTGCCTTTATTGTTGAAGTATTGAACAGTGAGTGTTCTATAAAGAGCCAGGAATAACGTAGGTTGAAGGCACGGTTCACTGAAGCCTGAAAGCGGTTTTAACTACTAGAATCTTTTACAGCTTCGTATTGTTCGTTGTTGTTGTTCGAATTGACATAATTATTTATTTCTTTTAAATAACTGTGTCAATTCTTTATTTCACCTTACATTTCTTCAAGCTTTAAAAGAATAAAGATGACAAAGGAGCTCACACCTTTTTTATAGGAGACTTTTTATAGGAGGGGCAAACGAGCGCACGGCTCACCTGATGGTAAGTGATTATCGCTGCCCATGAACAGCTGCAACACCAGGGGAACTGCAGATGCGTTGCCGGCGTTTCAAAAAGGAATAGGCTGTTTTCTTGAACGTCACTAGGTCGTATCGGTCCGGCAAAATCTCTGGTAGTAGTCAATTCCACGAGCAAGTTGTGCGAGGAAGAAAACTTCTTTCATATCGCACAGTGGTGGACCACCAGTCAACCAGATGTTATGGATGGTATCGCGAGTTTTGACCCGATGTGCGATTGTGAAATTGTGCGACTGGAATTGTGCGCTTAATTCGAACAATTCTCTTCGCAGTGCCAGTGAGTCAAGCCGATCGGAAAGAGCTCGGTCGCCAACGATTCGAACAGCTCTGCACTGAATGCGATCAATTAGAAGGAGCTATCACTGGGGAGCCCCAGCCCAGAGATGGGAACAGTATTCCATGTGCGGCCGAACCTGCGCCTAGTAAAGTTGCAGGCGGTGTTTTTAGAAGCCACCAAGCTTTTTAGAGACCAATTTGGCCTTCTCTTCCAAGTGACCACGAAACTGCACGTCACTCGATATGTCGACGCCGAGGATACCGATACTGGCTGAGGCAACAAGCGGAGTGCCTTCAAACTGAGGAGATACGACAAAAGGGGTTCTTTTTAGCGGTAAACACGCAAACTTGTGTCTTCTGGGGATTAAACTGGACTAGATTTAGTCGCACCCAGTCCGAGACTTTGTTCAACAAAGTCTCGGACTGGGCGTGACGGGCTAGCGTAGTCGAGGGAAGCCCGGGCGACAGAGCCCCGCTTTGCGGGGCTCCTACTTCTGAATGGTTTATAAAAAATAACCACGAAGGAGATGGCGGGGTCTATTCGCCCGCTTCCCTTGCTCACTCGAACCCGCCATCTCCTTCTAATCTAACCTGTCCGAGTCGTGATGCCCTAAGTCCCTCAATAATGCCCTAAGTCCCTCCTAACTCAATAAAACACCGAAATAAAAAATTAATAAACAAACATTTTTCAATGTTTTTAAATGTTCGTTTTTTTGTGCAGATTATGAAAAAAAAATCTAACTACTTCATTTAATTATTTGTAAAAAAACTTATTAACACTTATACGTAAATGAGTGTGAACATTAGGAAGACGCTGCTCCTAATTTGTTTTCCTCTATGGCCTCCATCGACACCAACGGGACCACTACACGGTTTTCACTCCATTATAATATTCGTAAAAGGGTACCTTTTCAAGGACCAGTTCACTCTCAGGGCAGCCGACACCAAACACGATGCCTTCGCGGTGCGTATCGTAGGCAGGAAGTTCTGGTATCTGCTGCCAGTCTGACACAACTCTCAGGCGTACACCAAGTGACTGGCTTTCACGCCATAGCTTCAAAACTTCATCTACGAAATCATTGTGAAATTTTTCAATATCAATTATAAAAACATGTGTCCAAAATTTTTTATTAGCATAGGGGTGATATCGTTCGTCGTATCGATCGTTTAAATGCGTTCTTGGGCCAGGAGGAGAAGAACTACTTGATAATTTAAGTTTTTTTACTATTATAAATATTGCAGTACCTCGGTGATCGAGATGCGTTCGGCGTTAAAAAATTGGGAGTTATTACAAAATTTGTTGTACTTTAATTGGGAACCATTACTTTTGTTCAAATGCGTATTTTACTGCTTACTTTAAAAAAAACCCTCGTATTATTAGATATATTTAAGAGAAAAAAAAAGGATACTAAGGTTAATTCAATATTTGTTGGAGAGTTTCCAATCAAAGTTCCTGTAATTCTGTGACAGGTTCTGCCGCAGTGTGTGCAAAAGTTGTCATTCTTGACAGTATCCTTCTATAGTAATTATGGTGGTAGATCGCAAGGAGCTGTAATGATAAATTCAGGCCAGTCCACCATACAGACACGTGCAGATCCCTCGGGGACGAAAATTGCGATGATTTATCCAATTGAGAATTCCTTCAATTGTGTACCGATTAAACAAACACTGCAAATTTATAGCTTTAATAAGATATATTTTGTACCTAAAATTTAACTTTATAAAGTAAATATTTAAGTAATTAACATAAAATTCAGTGCTACATGAACCGGATGTGAGATACGATATCGTGGAAGAGAGAATTAAAAGCCTATTTTAAAACTAATTTGACTAGATATACAAAACGTATTTTTTTTTACAAAAACAACCTTACAAAGGTTTTTTTTTATATAGAACTGGCGATCCGCCCTGGCTTAGCACGGGTGTTTTATGAATCTCGACAGCAGCAGCACCTACCCGGTCCGATTGAGAATATAAGCCGTGCAGGGACCTTAAACACACGAAAATTTCATCAAAATCAGTGCGGCCAGTTTCGAGTTTTAGCGAGACTAACGCACAGCAATTGATTTTTATTATATGGATAAGGTTGGGGAACGAGCACATAGTCCATCTAATGGGAGGTGGATGCTGTGGCCCATAATAAGATCCATCTATCCTCTATTAAAATTCAAAATGCAGATGCATTGTCACACTTGAGGACTAAGATGAAATGCCTCGTTTCCATTAAAAAGGGTCTCCGATTCTCTATTAAACTACTAAGATGGTGAAATATTATGTAAATGTAAAGAAGGTTTGATTTATTATGCATCGAAAATACAAACCACATACCTGTTTGCCAACAAAGAAATGCCGTTACCAAATAAACGTTTTTAGAAGCGAAGTAGACGGGTATAAAGCTCGCCAAGTCCATTATTGTTTAGGAAATTACGTCGCTATATAGGGTAGAAAAATAAAGTTTAACATAACATAAACATAATATAAATACTCACGCCTGTCACCCAGAGGGGTAGGCAGAGACTACAGACTTCCATTTGCCTTTCGATCCTGACACACCTCTCTCGCCTCCTTCACATCCATACACCTACGCATACGTGCTCGTCGGTTAAGGGTACTCCTAATTTGGCCCGTTTTCAATAAATCGCCAATTTGGTCGATAAATTTTCGCCTAGGACGTCCCTTTCCGACTCTGCCATTCACTTCTGCAACATAAATTTTCTTTGTCACTCTTTCCTCATTCATTCTTTCCACATGACCAAACCACCGAAGCATTCCTTTCTTAATCCTGGTCACAATATCATCTTGCAATGCATGGTATTTTCTTATTTAACTGCAGTGACAATAATATTTCTAAACTCTATTCCAGACCGTGTTCACTTTAGCGTGGGACTTTATGTGAACATAAAAAAGTTTTTCATTGAACATAAAAAACCCATTTTATGATTTGTTTACATTAAGCCTTGTGCCGAAATGAATTGATTACATATCTCTACATTCTTTTAACGAATAATGATTGCAGAAAAATATTGTTATCAGCGCACGGACGTAGGTCTCTGCTCTCTGCCTGTTACTATTTATCAAAGGCGTGCCAGAACCCAGAATCCTTTACTGTTTCTTCATATAGCCCGTCCAGTTACATAATTTATAAGGAAATCAAGACTTATTCGTCATTTGTGGATGCTGGATGCACAAAATCACAAAATACCGTGTGAATTTATTTTATTATTTCTTCTCCCATGATCATAATATAATATCATGTTTTAATTTGCCTGTCAATTGTAGCAAATATGACATTATACTTTCTACTAGAGGAGATTTTCATTTCCAACTTTAGAATTTATCCCAATAAATAAAATTGCATAAAATAAAAATAAATCTTAAAAATACAGCTATAAATGAAATCAATAAGATATGACAAATGCTCTTGTTTTAAATACCTTTTGCTATACCTACTAATCAGAACTAACTACTGAAAAATAATTTTCATAAAAAACGTATGTAATGTTAACTTCGCTATTTAAAATTGAAAGTCAAACAAGACATCGGGAATTGATTGTTTGCCAAGTGATTTACTCGAGCCATTAGAAGTTTCCTGGCTGTATTTGAGCTAATCGAGGCCATTACCAGCTGCAGAACAGCAGTGATTACGAGCTAATTATCTTATCAGTTAAATTAGCAGATAAGATAATTAGCTCGTAAATGTTTAATTATGGCGGGAATAACCGACTATCATGGGTACTTTTTCTTTATCAATATACGTGCGTAATCTACAAATTAGCCATACATTCCACTTTACCCATTGGCTTTAATTTCCTTTGGCTGCGTCTTTGGTCTACTGGTAGTAAACGCGTTTGCTGATAATGAGGTCACGGACTCTGATCGGGTCGGTCCAAAATCAGTTACTGGATTTTTTTGTCAAACAAATTCGCAGTAGCAGCTCGAAGTCAGAAGTTGGTGACCCCCGTGTCTCAGTAGGCACGTGGTCCTGCGCCTGATGTCTCTACAATCGTGCCAGATTGCCGTTCCATCGGACTACGAGAGTGAGGGAGTAGAGAGTGCACCTGTGGTTTCGCATACACTCGTGCACTATAATCCTGTCCGGCGCAGATGGCTAGTCTCCGATGAGGCAGGCCGCCGTGATCATACGGAGGACAATTAATTAATTAACTCCCATCGGATATCACTTATATGGTCGGCACATTTCCTCTTCAGCTTGCTCATCCTTTGAGCTTCGAGATCATTTTTGTGGTCGTATTTCTACGAAAATAAGCGAAAAATACAACAATACATAAAATACACATTTTTATTTAGATCATTGTTCAAATAATTAATGACAGATACTAAGAGAGCTATATACATCACAAATATTGGGAGCACGCATGGCGCCTCGAGTCTCTTTACATGAACACTCCTAGGATCATAACGTAATCTATACATATAATCTATACATCTAATCTAATCTAAACATATAATAAATCGGTAGAAAGGTCGTGATCGTAATTCTAATATTTTCTAGAAAAAACAAGTCCAGGGGACTAAACAAAGGGTACTGAAGCCGTATTAGTGGTTTTTAGAATTTTTGTCTGTCTGTCTGTCTGTCTGTGTATTAAAGATTCACGCAAAAACTACTGAACATATTTCCATGAAATTTTGTGTGTAGGTAGTTAGGGGCCCGGGGCTACTTATAGGTTACTTTTCATCCGATTACGAAACTTCAAAAAAGGAGGGTTAAGTATTTTCCTTCCTTTAGATGTTAATTTCTATTTTATACGATTGATGTGTTTTATTAAAATAAATAAAATATTTATAAATAAAGCCCAAAATTAGTTGTAAAATAAATTGAACTACGCCGACAAACTACAATATTATTGTTGCATTCACTTTTTGAAAACAGTGCCATCAAACGTAAAATACAAAAAGTAATGACATTTTGCCACCACTAAGAAATTAAATAGTATAGCATTTATATAGTTATTTTATGTGAAAATTTTAATGTACATTTTTTAGTTTTTGTTATTTCATTTTAGTGGATATTAATAAATTGTATACTAACAAATTACCTTTTTTATATGAAGGGTGACAAACGAGCACACAGTCCACCTGATGGTAAGTGGTTGCTGTGGCCCATGGACATCTACATCTATCCTCGATTACTAATAAAAATGCAGATGCGTTGTCACCCGTGAGGACTAAGGTGGAATGCCTCGTTTCCAGTAAAAAGGGTCTCCGGTTCTCTACACTCACCATACGAAACACAGCAGCATCAAGCTACCATTTCACGCTGGTATTCTGTGAGAGCGTGGTCCCTCCCCGGTCGAGCCGACCCATTCGTGCTACAACTATACTACTAATATAACTGCAGCATGGCTCTACCACGTACTTCTAAAAAAGATAATAGTGACATCTTTCGAAAATCACAAATTTAACGATGTTTCTAAGTTAAATTTTCAATCAATAAAAAGTTTTAGTTTTTAGTTTTTTTATCTATAAATAAACTGATAAAGATTGCAATTAATACAAAACGCTTATTATCCTTATAGTTTCAATAAAAAGATTTTTATACAATATGTAACTTAATTAACGCACACCCTCAGACACCCCAATTAGTATATTATGTTATAATCATAATACATACACTGAATTTTTAGTTAAACATTTTTATGCACTGATTATTTATCAAATTAGTTATACTAATTCCGGAAGAATGTTGTGGTCACAGTACAAATCCACGAACGCAAAGACTTTAACGTGCTTGAAATAAAGTTCATTTTTCTTTATTTTTATTGAATGACAGAATTAGTAATAATACAAATAAAACTGAACTCCTAAAAGTTTTATTGCCTTAAGTTAATGTACATTTCAGTTCGTACTGGCTGTACAGATTTAGTGTGACTGTAATGTACGTAGTTTTAATTATTTTTGGGATAAAAAATTACCTATATTAAAAATGATAGGAATCGATTCAGTAAACGATTCTGTACAAACTACTTCTAGGATGTGCGTTAATTATGTTACATGCTGTATATGTATTGATAATACCTTAGACTTTATAATATCATAAATTAGTCGATTATTGAAAGGGAAATGGCGGTATTTCATAAAATTTAGCAGTGTTTGTTGACTATATGATGATAAAGCTTGACCAAGTCAATGAAAAGAGATTATCTGGCGATATTAACAACTAAACGCGACATTGCTACTTCTAGATGCTATTGTTGCTACAAATACAAAGTCTTTGTCTAGGTATATAATATTAATAGTTTAGTTTAGTTTTTAGAAACTGTCGTTTTATCCTTGTTTTCAGACAATAAAAAAACTGCTACAATATCATTAGCATACGAAAGTAAATTTTGCCAGCACATTTCAGGTATTAATAGCAAATGGGATATCGGTCGATCCCGAAATCGTGCTACCTAAGTGGATTTCGAGGCTCTTGTGAAAAAGTACTATAAATATCAAAGAAAGCATATTATAAACACGGGTTTGTAATGTAAATTTCATAGTTGGTACGCAAGTAACTCAAATTAGATCCGCGCCGAGTCCACTAATATTTTAACTGCAATCTGAAGTTTCAATTTACCACGTTCTCGGTGGTGAAGAAAAACAACGCAGGAAACCTGCATATCTGAGATCTTAAAAAATATTTCGGAAATTATTTTTAGGAAGTCGGTCATTCCGCATTGGAGTCAACTTAATCAACTCCTTTTTTACTTAAAACTCGCTGTGGCCTGTGCCCAGGATGTATTTAGGCTCCTACTTATTTACTTTAAATGGCGCTTTTCACTGCTGATCAAAGGCTTCCACCATTGCCTATGTCAAATATACCGGGTATTTGCAGTAGCACTCACGCTTGGCAAACGGGTTGGCAACCGCAGCTCTTTATTACTTCGCGGTGTTATCGAGAAGATGCTACCCATCTCCTCTTTCAATTTCGTCTGTCGCCTCTTAAGACACCCACGGGACGAAATGGGGAAGGGGTTTCTTTTTCGCCACCCCTAAATGGCCTTTCCCCTAAATGGTTTTTCCTGCCGCCCGGTTCCAAGCTTCAGGACGCCGATAGTTTAGGTAATTTCTTTTCACAGTGAAAATAACAGTAATTTAAAAAAAAAACATAAGCCCTGCTTTATAGTTAGTTCAGTTAGTATGCAAAGTTTCATGATCTTATTTAAAGTATTTTATGAATAACAGCGGTTTATTGTTCAGTTTGGAGGTAACTTTGGATTTCTTTCTATCGAGAAAATTTTACGGAATCATGTTTTCGTCTAACATAGTACTTAATATTAATCCCCAACTTTACCATATATTTATTTTAAAATTAATGCTGCAATATTTTCGGCATAACGGAGGATTTTGCTAAGCCATTTGAGGTTATATTCCCCCTTAAACTACTATTTTACGCTAGTATTCTATGAG